GTGCCAGTAGAACATGCTTGAGAGGCAGAGGCAGGAGGTCAGCCTGGGCTACACGTTTTAGCTGGTTGAAGTAGTGCACTCCTTTAATCTCAGCACTTGGGACACAAACACAGGTGCATGTCTGTGAGTTCACAGCCACTTTGATCTATCTAGTGAGTTCTAGGCCACCCAGGACTATATACTAAGACTCTGTCTAATTTTTTTTTAAATTTTATTGGATATTTTCTTTATTTACATTTCAAATGTTATCCCCTTTCCTGGTGTTTCCCACCAAGTCCCCATCCCCTTACTGTCAAACGTATTTTCGGCATCTAATGAAATGATCATGTGGTTTTTCCTTTGAGTTGTTTATGTAGTGGATTACGTTGAACTTTAGATTTTTAACATTGTTGAGACTGTTCTAGACTATGGGACTTTTGAAGTTTGACCAAATGTATTTTGCATTATGATATGGCTAGGTATGGCCTCCTTAGACTCACAGACTATGAGGTTCAGGGAGTGGAGTGTGGTGGTTTGAATATGCTTGGTACTATTAGGAGGTGTAGCCCTGTTGGAGTAGGTCAGATCGATGGGTAGAAACCTGATATATAGAGGGTAACGGACCTGAGCCCCATAGTGCAGAGTATCTTGGGTGTGCCTGGAACCCAGTTAACAGGTCTGAGCTCTCAGATGGTCAATCTGTGTTATTGCTAATACTTGCAGAACATCTGTTGGGTATCAGCACTTTGTGCACATTGACAGACCAAGAGACACTGACTCCTTAAAAATAATTGAGATAATTTCCCCCTTTTCCTTTCCTCCCTCCAAACCTTCTCATATACCCTTCCTCTTGCTCTCTTTCAAATTCACAGCCTCTTTAAAAAAAAAAAAAAAGATTGTTGTTATAGTTGGCAGTGGTGGTGCATGCCTTTAGTCCCAGTACTCAGGAGGCAGAGGCAAGTGAATCTCTGTGAGTTCAAGGCCAGTTTGGTCTACAAAGTGAGTTCCATGAGTCAGAGCCACACAGATGAAGGCTGTCTTCACTCTCTCCCCACAAAAAGTTGTTATATATATGTGTGTGTGTGTGTGTGTGTGTGTGTGTGTATTCCTAAATACGTAAGTACAACCCACAGTTTGTGTGTTTGTCCACTGGTGATTATTTGGTACTGGATAACTTGTGTGAGTGTACTCTTCCCTGGGAGACTTCCTGCTCTCAGCATTGATTGCAATTCTTTGCCTAGGGCTAAGGCTTCATGAACGTTCCCCTGTCCACGTTATCATGTCTGCTGTGTCATCCCTTTCAGGTTATGTTCAGACAGCCATGTTGGCAAGACTTCATGGGTGTAGCTTCTGACATTTCTAGGAGACAGAGCTCAACAGCAAACTTCCTGTTACTCTGGCTCTTACAATCTTTCCACAATGGTCAGCCCTTAGGTGCAGGAGTTGTGTTGTGTATCAACTGGGACTGGGCCCCCAAACTATGCATTTTCTTCTTCTTTTTCTCCTCCTCCTCCTTTTTTTTTTTTTTTTTGGTTTTTCGAGACAGGCTTTCCTCTGTGTAGTCCTGGCTGTTCTAGAACTCACTCTGTAGACCAGGCTGGCCTCAAACTCAGAAATCTGCCTGCCTCTGCCTCCCAAGTGCTGGGATTAAAGGTGTGCGCCACCACTGCTCGGCCAAACTATGCATTTTCATTGTTTGTTGTTTTCTGTAATGGTTTCCACCTGTTGCAAAGTGACATTTCCTTAATGGAAGTGAAGATTATATTTATTTATTTATTTATTTATTTATTTATTTATTTATTTATTTATTTATTTGGTTTTTCAAGACAGGGTTTCTCTGTATAGCTCTGGCTGTCCTGGAACTCACTCTGTAGACCAGGCTGGACTCAGAAATCCACCTGCCTCTGCCTCCCAAGTGCTGGGATTAAAGGCCACCTCTGCCCGGCGGAAGATTATATTTATATGTACAAATATAGACAGATGTTTAGATGTAGCTAAAGATTACACTGGCTTAGTAAAGTGACAGTTGTAGGTTTTCCTTCAAGATCTGTGGCTTCACTGGCCCTGGATTGTTGTCTAGGTTCCCACTACCAGGAATGATTTTCCTCTCGTTGAGTGGGTTTTATGTCCAGCTAGAGAGCTGTTGGTTACTAACAAGACATTTATGCCACTATTGTACCCTCAGGGTTGTTGTGTCATGTTGTTGTGGTTCATAGGTGTAATAGTTTGGTACGATTGTTGGTTGCTTCCCTTCTTTGGAAGCTTGCAAGTTCCTGTCTTCCTTGCAACACTCCCTTTTTACTTTTCTAGTCTCTGAAGTTACTCCAGGTTATGTACTCAAATCTGAAGATTTAGAAATAGAAGCCTCAGATGAGAGACAATGTGAGACTTTTGTCTTTCTGGGTCTTTTCTCAATCCATCATTTACCCTGACAGACCCCTGGGAAAGGGTGTCTTTCTCCTTTCTTTAGACTTGGCAGTGACAACTCTGTGATGTGTTTACAAATGGTAAGATGAAGAGCCAAGATGTGACTCACACCATCTGACTCTGTAATTCAGATTTTCATCAACCACAATAACTTAACACAATAACGGAGCAGCAGATTGAAAAATAAAAGGATATCCAGGTGGGGCATGGCGGCACAGGCCTGTAACACTAGCATACAGGAGTCTGAGACAGGAATCTCATGTTTTGAAATCGGGATGGGAAATGAGGCTCTGACTCAAACAAACAAACAAACAAACAAAAAAAACTCCAACCAAGCCGTAAGCAGAGCAGGGTTGAGAGGACACTTGTACTTCAGGTTAACACGCACAACAGCAAAGAAGCAGCACCGTGCTGCCGTCATCCCATCTTTAATCAAAATCACAGCATAGTTAACACATACAAATGTCCAGACCTTTAGTGGCCTTTGCATGTCAAAATCCCTTTGCATAACATTGTGAGGCTAATTTCGTGCTATGAATTTACAAATGTACAACATAAAAATACATTTGGAGTATATTCCATGTAACTTTAAAAACTTTAAATGCAATAGACATACAATGTAAAGATATTTAAAATAAAAATTATAAAATGAGCACAAAGAAGTCTTCCCTTTACAATTTTTAATAAAATACTGCTCTGTCTAAGATCTAAGGAGAAATTCCAGTTACTTACAAAATAGTTACATGACAAAAGAAACCAAGATAGATATGTATGAAATCACACTATTTAAATGAAGCAAATGTTAAACACTTTGATAAACAGCACACCACCAATTACTCAGTGTCAAGTGAAAACACTCAAAGTAATTTGTGCAGCAAAAGAAAATGTAAGATACTTGAGGCCAAGAAAAAAAAAAAGCTGAAAAATAAATCCAGCTGGGCAATGGTGGCACATGCCTTTAATCCCAACACCAGGGAGGCAGAGGCAGGAGGATCTCTGTGAGCTTGAGGCCAGCCTGGTCCACAGAATGAGTTCCAGGACAACCATGGCTACACAGAGAAACCCTGCTTTGAAAAGCAAAACAAAAATCCAACACACACAGACACACATATACACATAGATAGACACACCTACAACTGAAAGGGAAAGGCAGGATTAATAGAGCGTAAAGCACACTGGGCCTGGCGACATACTCTGTAAAACTCAGGAGGTGGAGGCAGGAGGATTGAAGAAGTATGTAGCAAGAGAGAGTGGAGAGGGGGAAGAGAGAGAAAGCCCGAGTGAGCAAGAGTTATAAGGACTCACAGCAGGCTTCAGAGTAAATTCTCACCCCCATCATTTTGAGAGAAACAGAAGAAGACCTTGGCTTCTAATCCCTAAGCAGCCACACAGACCATTACCCTCTGCAATAATCGACAGTAATGGGCCAACTGGTTGGGAAATTCACGTCTACAGCTTTCACTGTGCCAAAATGTGGTCTGGAAAGCAGTCTGCGTCACTGCTGCACTTGCGACCAATCATTGCAGAGCAGGGAGTTTTCACCCAAAGGCACAAAGATTCTCAACATTCTTGATGCTTCAACTGTTTTCTCCTAGCATGTCTCTGAAAAAGAACATGTGCTGTGATGATAACACCCCGGGTCTGCCTGTCTGCTCTTCCTGTTGCTGGAGAGCCGCCCGTCTCCAGCTGTCTCTTACTGTGCCCTAGCAGAAAGTGAGGATGTCTAACAGGAATATGAATTAAGTCAGTCTGAAAAACACTAAAAACTTAAGCTTTATTTTCTTCTAGCAAAGGGAATGCCTACAAAAAAGACCACTTTGTTGAAATCAACAACCACAACCACCATCACCACAATATAAAACTCACACAAAGAGCTGCAGTTTGAGCCCTGTCACTATTTCTAAAAAATAATGATTCTTTTCTTTTCTTAGTGACTGATTAAAAAAAAAGATACAGAAGGAATGCCTTTCATAGTAATTTTTAACAGATTCTCTTCTATAGTAAAAGAAAACTCTGTAATCAAGAGGGTACATAGAACATCTATCTGAGAAGAACTGTCTGAGATCTGCCTTCTGTGGAGTTCTGCCATATAAGTTGGAAACTAGATAAGCGCTATGAAAAATATGTGTTGATTCAAAAAGAACGGATAAGTAAAAAGGGAGCAAAGAAAAAGACTCGTTCGTTTCCTTGAGCTAAGCCGGTACATTAACGTCTGCAAACAGGACTGAGTCTCACCTATCTCCTTGTCCTCGCCTCCTCCCCTGAGAACCAGGAATCTAGAACTGTCTAGACACAAGGTGAACATGTGATCATAGGTACGGGAGGAAATACAAGGAAAGAGGCAGCTACACTTTCATTCTGCTCATCATGGAAGGAGGGAAATACCTTCAGTCTTCTTTACTGACTGCTTTGAAAAGTAAAGAGAACTTTTTTTCAAACAGGGTCCACATAGCCCAGGCTTGCCTTGAATTCACAGTCCTCCTGCTATAGATAGCTTCCAGAATGCTGGAAATGGAGATGTGCACTACCATGTCCAGAGAAGAAAAATCTGAAATTTAAACTGATGTTCAGAGGAAATAATGTTTAGATATAACTGAGGTTTAGATATTTAAGCCTTTATTCTATGAAGTCCTTCGGTCAATTAATGCATTGACCAGGTAATGTACAAAATTGTGAAAGGGAGCCATGGATGAAAGGACCCATCTTCAAATGAACTTAATTTGCTTAACAAAGAAAGACTTGTTGAACAAAGATATTTACAATAATTTCCAGCGAGGAGAGGAAGGCTTAATCAAATAACTTTTCTAGTTACACGGAAACAGACAATCCGGGGAAAACACAGCCCAAGTGTGTTTCAGAGATGTGCTCCCACAAGGTCCAGTGTCCTCACAGTAGCCTGCTGCTAAGGCAGTCTTGGCCTCTCACACCCTGCAGAGGCTGCACACTTCAGACATCAGGCCTGTGTTTGGACTAGGACATTGAGGGGAAGGAAACAGAGAGTATGCCACACTGCTCCCTGTCTGCCAGTACAGAATTCTCTCTTCTTTTCTTTGCAAGCTTGACCCTTAGACTTTATTTATTTTTAGCCAGGAAGATCAACTACTCTTCCTGGCTTTCCATAGAGAATCACTAGCTTGATGTGCTCAGACTTTAGAGAAATATCTTAACAGGTTCAATAACATTGTGTTTACTAAATTTCTCATGGAATTTTCAGAACAACTTCCTCTGTGTTCTACAGGGGATATGCTTGTACACCTGGTGGACTCATCCACAGGGGTAGGGGAACAGACAGTAAATGTAAGTGAGGTAACAAATACCACACACTTTAAAGGTCTTGGAAGCAGTTACCACAGCACTGTCATAACTGGACTTCCCCTTGCGTCTGCAATGGATGCTTCCTTTGAAAGCAGAGTTTGTGAGCAACAAAGACAAACACCGGAAAGGGCCTTAGCCTTCCCACGGTGCCCCAGTACTGCCCACTGACACACAGCTCAGCTTCTGCTGACAGAAAACAAAGTTACAGAACTTCACATGACCATAGAAATGAAAGATGATGATCATTGCCTCTTACACTAAAGGCACTACTAGTATACATACATCTGCCATCACTGAGAAAAACACTGAAAGCAGCAGAGAAAGGAATCAACATCAGGATTTTAAAAAACAGTAAGACTACTTTAAGACTTATGGCAGAGTTTTCAATGACCTAAATTAAATCACACATAACAATAAGCAGCTCCATATAAAGACTGGTTCCTACTTTTTAAAAAGTCTGATCATTTTACTCTTTAAAAATATAAGCATATCATAAAACTAAAAGATAAATATATGTTTATATATAAATGCACACCCTGATGTCCTTAAGAAAATTTCATAAATTCCAAATAATTTCAACAGTGTGAACAACACACACCCATGAGTGACATGCAGAGACAAAATGTGACATCACTGAGCAGTTCAGCAGGTGCTAAAATGCGCAACCAGAATGGGATAGGCAGTAATAATGTCCACAAAAAAAGACATCTTGGAATTTTTAAAAAGTTTACATTTTTACCAGTCCCAGGAAGCTCTCTACACATAGACCCACAATGAGCTTTCACATATGTGAAGTAAGCAGAGAAAAAACCACACAAGGGGGTGTGGTGATATACGCTGGAATCTCAGAATGTGGAGGATTGCCATGAGTACCAGGCCAGCCAGGACCACACAGCAAGACCCCATCTCAAAAGAAAAATATCAAAAAGCAAATATAGCCCAAGAAGCCTAAAAAAGATTAGTGATGAATATTCTGTACTCTATTTAAAGACTGATTTGTAATCACTGTACCCTGTAGATTTTGAAACTTAATTTTATTAGGAATTCTGAATGCTGGTTCTTGAATAATCTAAAAAAATTTCATTACTTTTCAAATCTAGAGTGTTATTTCTAGTTTGAAGCAGTCAGATGAATGCCCTGGAGAGTCTTCTAAAGTCGCTTTGGTACAAGATGTAGAACAAAGCAGCACTGGCCGCACCAGCCAGCTCGAGGGCTCCATGGCCACGGCCGGCAAGCGAGCTGGCTCCACAGCATCCGAGGGACTGACTTTGGCAACAGACTGCCGTGGACAGAGTACGGGCCACTCTCCAGTCACGTTGCTCCATCATTACAAACAAACAAACCCATACTTAGTAAATGACTAGGCCTAATTCATGCTGCATTAGTTATCCCTCAATAAGGGTGTAAAAAGCTTATCATCATGGTAAGTTAATGACTGGTTTATAGTTCAGGGACCCTTCCAATGAGGAAGCCAATGGCTAGAGAGGTGCATGTCAACATTTACACCACTCATATTTACTCTAGTTTTGGCTTTTGAAGCAAGGTCTCAGGCTGGCCAGGAACTCACTATGTAGCCCTAGCTAACCTTGAATATATGGCAATCCTTCTGTCTCAGCCTCTCAAGCACGATGTTCATAGGTAATTATCATGCTCAGTTTGATATTTATTTTAATACAAGATTTAATTTTCTCTTCTTTTACAGCTTTATTGAGGTATCACTGATGTACAACAAATTGCACATATTTAAAGTGCACAATTTGATATACAGCCTTAAATAGCATGAAAAGTGCCTGATAACTTAAAAATAAAAAATATTTAATCTAAACATATCCTAAAATAGTACATTTCTGACACATAGATATCAATTTATAAAAAGGTAGATGGAGATAAAAGAAATTAATTCCCAGGTACCAAATTTATTCAGAAGGTTTAGAAACGCTAAAGTTGACAGCCAGTTTTCTTGATTTCCTTCTTGAGGAGCTCGGCGCTGGCCTCTGGTGGGACACAACATGGCCTTGGGAGGCAGTTTCAACACGAGAAGACGCAGGCTGAGCAGCAGCCTGAGAGGATGTGGAAGAGGCTGGGGGACTTTTCTGTGGAGTCATGTCGGCGGCTTCAGAAGACCCAGGCTTGTTAGTCTGAAGTGGCGTGGCTTGAGAACTCTGGGCCTCCTTGTTCTCAAAATTCTTTCTGTTTGCAACTCTTTTTTTTGTAACCTTTGAGGAATAAAAGCATTATTAACTAATTATCTAGCAGTCTACACACACACACACACACACACACAAAGCTTGTGTCAGAAAATACCATAAACCAGGCCATGGATATTTGCTAATCACTGCTGATTTTGACTTCCACTTACTAATAGCAACAAAATATTTATAATAGAGGCTGAAGAGACGGCTCAGTGGAGATGGCTCAGTGGGAATCTGAATTTGGTTCCCAGCACCCATGTCTGCTGGCCTCTAACTTTGCTTCAGGGGATCCAACATCTCTGGCCCACCAGGGCACCTGAATTTGGGTAAACATACTCTCCCTCCTTGGACAAAATTAAACCAAAATAAATAAATTAAAAAAAATTTATATTCCTTGCTACACTTAGTATTACTTATTAGAATATAAATTCAGACCAGAGAGACTAGTCTAGTTCGTTCACACACACAATATCTCTAGTCAGTCCTGGTAAGTACTAACTAGATAAGTTTTTATCATAGTTTTGTTCTGAATAGTATAAAAGAAAAGAAAAGAAAAAGAAAAAAAGTAACAGTTAAAAAACCTGTAGTTTTCTTTCCAGCAACCCTCACCTGCAGAGGTATGAACTGATTGTGCACTCCGCCTGGCACCCCTCCAGCCACGGGCATGGTTCCAGGATATGAAGGACAGTGGAAGGCATTCCCAGCAACGGGCACTGGTGGTCTCCATGGCACTGAGCCAAAGATATGAGATGATGAAGGCATTATATTAGCTGTAAAATACCAATATCCAGAGAGTTAAGACTCCTCTCTGCTAGCCCTTTTTAGCTTCTCCAGCTCAGGTGGCAACTGTAAGTGCTCCTGCCTACTGTATAGTCACCCCTGGGCTCCTCTCTCAGAACCATCAACTATCAACAGAAATGCAGTTATCCTGATGCTCTGCCTACAGAGGACAGTGGTACCAATGCTGACATGAAGAAGCTGGACTTTGCTGTGGAATCATTTTGGTTCCTTTAGAAGACGGCTTATTAGGATTGGCTTGTTAATACAAAGTAGTGGGGATTGAGAAGAGCTCTGGGCCTTCTTAGCCTCAAAATCCTGTTTGTTTGGTTTCATGACCACATATATGCACTTGAAGTGACTCCTTAAGAAAGGTCTGGGAACAAAGACAGATCACAAGGCTCTCACCTTACCAAATGCTAAGTAGCTTTCACAGTGAGCACAGCATATAAAAAGCTCCAAAGCTCAAATTTTGAAATATCATCACTTTCATGGTACAGGTAGCATTTCTTTTCTCTATTCTAGTATTGTAATTCTAGGACTTTTTTTTTTGGCTATTGGAAGCACACTGAACTGGTGACCCTAAAACTATTTGTTTCTCTGAGATACTTGAAGAGCTTGTGAAATGCAGACTCCTCGTAAAAGTGATTAAAATCCAGTAAGCCAGACTACTGAGATCTCAGAAATCTCTGTATTTCTGTAAATCACAGGACAATTTGTGAGGCTCAGTTCTTTCCATCCACCATGTGGGACATAGGATTTAACTCAGGCTGTCAGGCTTTGCAGCAAATGCATTTACCTCCTGAGCATGTCTCTGGTCCTGGTATTTTGAATTTCAAAGCAATCTATTTTTCTTTATTATAATGTTGCTCCTTTCAGTCTAGAGATGCATGTCTTTTAATTCTAAGAAATTCCCTCCCTCCCTCCCTCCCTCCCTCCCTCCCTTCCTTCCTTTCTTTCTTCCTTCCTGTCACTCATGTATTTCTCTGGAGTTGCAATAACAAGGGTTGTTGATCTATGGACAATATTAATTTTTTGTTATTCCTTATTTTCTAGTTTTTACTATCCTTTGACCATTTTAAGTCAACAATCATGATAGTTTAAATGAGAAATGTCATCCTAGGCCCAGGTATTTGAATACAGTGCCCTATTGGTGGTGCTGTTTGTGAAATTATGCCATCTTTAGCAGATAGTCTTGTTTGAGGAAGTATGTCTCTGGGAACTGGCTTTGAGTTTATAGTCTCTCTCTACTTCCTGTTCTCTGCTCTGCATTTGCATACATGACTTCTCATCTCAGCTTTCAGCTTCAGTCCTCTGCTACCATCCCTCTGCTTCCATTATGGATTCCTCCTTTGGTATGTTATCTCGGCAACAGAAAAGTGACTGATACAGAACTTGGTACCAGGAGTGGGATGTTGCTGCAAAGAACCTAACCATGTTGTATTTTGGAGGAATGTGGAAGACTGTTCAAGTTTAGACTAGAAATGTGGCTGAATGCTGTAGCCAGAGTTTAATGGGCCATTCTAGAAGTTAGCAGTGATGAGAGTAATGCAGAAGATAGAGACCTGCCTCGTAGTGTTTCAGAGGGGAGTAGAGACTGTGTTATTTTTTGTAAACAATCTCGCTGTTTTCTGCCCATGTCCTGAGAATTGACATGAGGCTAAATTAAAAAGACTAATTTCTTTGGCAGAACTTTGAAGACCACAGAGTCTATGTCATGACTCTTATTGATAAGACACACGCAGCTCTACAGTAACAAAGAACAAGTGGGGCATAAAGAATGGAAGGATGCAGTCTGGAGATAAAAGAGAATTCTCTCTCTCTCTCTCTCTCTCTCTCTCTCTTTCTCTCTCTCTCTCTCTTTTTTTTTTTTTTGTTTTTTTCGAGACAGGGTTTCTCTGTATAGTCCTGGCTGTCCTGGAACTCACTCTGTAGACCAGGCTGGCCTCAAACTCAGAAATCCACCTGCCTCTGCCTCCCAAGTGCTGGGATTAAAGGCATACGCCACCACAGCCCAGAAAGAGAATTTTCTTTTGGAAACATAAACCAAAATAAACTATTTCTTTTAAAAGTTGCTTTTAGTTATGGCATTTTAGGTATATCAATAAGATTAATATACAGCTAAGGCATGTGCTAAGAGGCTGTAATGGTTAAGGAGATTAGTGCCATCCAGGAGAGACCTGCTCTGCCCTGAAACAATGGGAAAAGTGCCAGAGGAGAAGATCCTACCTAGCTAAACCTCCAACTTGTGAAAGGAACAACCCTAAAGGGCAGCTTGTTTCTAGAATGCAATTGCTTCAGTCCAGGAAAGCTGCTACTGAAGTGGCTGAAGAAATATGGATTCAATCCTAGATGGCAGTCAAACCTGTCACTGCCACCCACACAGCACCATCTTTGGGCATGAAAGATGCAAGAGTGAGGGACAGCCTCAGAGGCCAGACAAGTGTCAGGGGAGTCCCTGTAAGAAGCCATCATATACAGCTATGATAATGAAGTCTGGGTTGTGGTGGAGACCCCGCCATGTTGGAGATCACAGTCATGAGACATTTGCCAAGGAATACTGCAGACAGGGAGTGGAACCAGTCTAAGAGAGAGAACACTGCAGGCAGCAAAGCTGGAATCATCTAAGTCCTATGGAAATAAACTCCCAGAACTGGACATGGAGCTATACGATTTTGTGTTTGTCCTGAGCTTAGGCTTATACTGGTTCAGTATTTCCTCACTGTGCCTTGCTCTACTACACTGCCACTCCAACTGTTCATTCACTGCCACTGTCTTCAGATCCACCTCTCTCCCCCTGCCCCCTTGTTTCTTTTTTCTCTGAGACAGGGTTTCTCTGTGTAGCCCTGGCTGTCCTGGAACTCACTCTGTAGACCAGGCTGGCCTTAAACTCAGAGATTTGCCTGCCTCTGTCTCATGAGTGCTGGGATTAAAGGCATGTGCCACCAGTACTGGCTGCTTTCAAATTTCTAGTCTGCTGATACTTCTTTTATCTATTTATGCTCAGAGGTTTTGTTTTTAAAATTTCTTAGACATAGTTTGGGTGGGAAGAAAAGGTAACTACAAGTTGCAAATCTTTTTGATTTTTGAAGATAGTTCTTTAACTGGATGTAGTGGGTACACTTTAATCTTACCAGAAGACTGAGGTAGAAACTAGAAATTCAAAGCTAGTCTGGATTACATGAAACACTGCCTTCAAACAAACAAAAACAATCAAATCTCAAACCACAAAAATGGTACATGTTGATGTATGCATACACACAGAATGTAATTTAACCCCCCGTAAAAACACAATGTGGTCCTTAAAAGAATTTAGAGAAAATAAGAACCGAAGGATGAATACTTAGAAAAGCAAACCACCTTACCAGTAGGTTGGGGAAAAACAGGAGAGATGGCTCCTGGAGGGACGGCTGCAGGAGGGACGGCTCCAGGTGGTACCGCAGGAGGATAATTTGTAAATATTGGTGGAGGCAAAGGAAAATTCACACCCAAGGAGCCCTAAGGAAGTGTTCAAAAGCAATGAGACAAAACAAGAAGACCTTCCTTTCTGTAGACTAATTAAATCTAAGAGGCAGCCGGGAGAGAGCTCCATGGTTAATGGCACTTGCCACTCTTCCAGAGGATGGAAGTCTGATTCCCAGCATGCATGTAGGGCTCACAACATCTGTAACTACAGCTCCAGGGGATCTGACTTCCTTCTTCTGGTCTCTGTATATACACTCATGTGCGTACACACACACACACACACACACACACACACACACACACACACACAAACGCGCGCGCACACGCACCAATTTTAAAAACGTAGAACTTATGAATTATTCTCACCAGTTGTTGTAAAGCAAAGAGTGCAGCTCTCTCCTTGGCTTCACTCTCCGAGTGGCACTGGGGCCCGTGTACCAGTAAGCCATTAGACAATTTCACCTGACAAACTGTCATTGTCTAAAAGAAGAAAACACATTTCTGTAAGATTATCTGTCTAGGAACCGAAGTTCCTCTCTTAAACCTTGAACTAACAGCAGGATAATCTCATCTAAGTTTCAGGTTTCCAGGAAAAGTTTTAGAACTGTGCCTTATCTTTCTTTTCTTAAAAAAACAAAAAAACCAAACCAAACCAAACAACAACAATAACAACAAAAATCAAGGTCTTTCTGTGTAGTCTCCTCATCCTAGAACTCTCTATGTGGAACAGGCTGACCTCAAACTCAGAGGTCTGCCTGCCTCTGCCTCTGAACCCACTCCCCACAAAAAATGTAACATTAAATTTACCATCTTAACAATTTTTCAAGAATACAATTCAGTGGCATTACAAATACTAATAATGTTATATTATGTGTCACTACCACCATCTATCTCCAGAAAGCTTTTTATTTTATAAACCTAATTCTAAGCTAGGCAGTCATGGTACCTGTCCTTAATCCCAGCAGAGGAGGGGGAAATCTCTGAGTTCGAGGACAGCCTGGTCTACAGAGTGAGTTCCAGGACAGCCAGGGCTATACAGAGAAACCCTGTCTCGAAAAACCAAAACCAGAACCAGAACCAGAACCAAAACCAAAACAAACACCTACACAAAGAAAACCTGTTTCAAGAAACCAATTCCCTAGCCCCCCAATAAGCCCCCAAACACCAACCAAACCCCAAAACCAACACCAACCAATTAACCAAACAAGGAAAACAAACAAACAAACACATAATTCTACACTCATCAATCAATAATTTCTTCCTCCATTCAAGCCATGGAAACAACTATTTAAGTATGTCAGACGTGGTTTGCTTCACTAAGTGTGTCTATGGGCTCACTCACGCTGCAGCACATTACAATGTCCTTTTAAAGTTGAATAATATCCACAGTTTGAGATATATCAAATTTGCTTATTAATCATACCTTAACATAGACTTCTTTCAAAAAAATTTTTTTTTGATGTAGACTTCTATGCTTCATCTTCTACAAACCAGGCCATTATAAATGTAAAAGTGCAAACTCTTCAGGTGTAGTTTTCTTTTTTCTCAGATGGGGTTTCTCTGTGTAGCCCTGGGGGTCCTGGAACTCTATAGACCAGGCTGTCTGGGAACTTGCTCTGTAGAGCAGCTGGCCTTGAAGTCAGAGATCCACCTGCCTCTGCCTTGAGTGCTAGATTAAAGACGTGGGCTCCCAGTGCCCTGCAAGACTTAGTTTTCTTTTGGGTATATATTCAGAAAAGCAATTGCTGGAGCACATAATAATTCTATTCAAAAAACAATGTTTGGAGATAAGATCTTTCAAACAATTATTTATTTTTATGTATATATTTTGTCTGCTTATATGTCTGTGCATCATATGGGTAGAAGAACAGACAGACAGCAATCTCAACCACTGAGCTCTCTCTCCAGCACCTGGAGACAAGCTTTTGATTATGTAGCCAGACTGACATCAGCCTCTAGTGTTGGATGATAGGTATGTATCATGACGTCCAGCTATATTCCTTTTTTGGATTAGAAATGCCTAATTTTTTTTTCTCACTTCTGAGTCAGGTGTTTCTGTCATTGAGCTGTATGTATGATCTTATCTATTCTGTTGTTACAGTGTGTGCCTCTACATGTGAGGCCTTGAGTTCAAATCCTGGTTAGTGCTGCTAAAAAACAGCAACAACTTTCCAAACCACAAACAAAACCACAACCTTACACTCAAACAAACAAACCAACCTCCATACCACTGTACTTTTTTTTTTTCTAGCTAAAGATTTTCAGTCAGTTATGCTCAGTTAAAATTTATATTTGTGTAGATATCAAATGCAGTATACTATACCTGTGTTGTTCGAAGGAAGGAGAAATCTGGTTGTGGCATTCCAACAAGGGAACAAATTCGTGAAAGCTCAGTTACTGGTGTGGACACAGGAGGCATCTGGCCGGGCCAACACACACTGTCCACAGAGGCCACGTTTTGGTACTCATTAGTAGCATGAGGCTTGTTCATATGGCATGCTATCAAGAAAGCAAAGGGAATATCCACATTAATGAAGCCATCTCGGGCGTGGTGGGTTGAGTAAGAATGGCCCCATCAGCTCATACATTTGGACGCTTAGTGACCAGGAGTGAACTGTTGGACAGGATTACAAGGATTAGGAGGGGTGGCCTTGATGAAGGAAGAAAGTCTCTGGAGGTGGGTTTCCAAAGCTCAAGAGAGGCTCAGTGTCTGTCGCCCACTGCTCCAGAGCCATGTGTGAGCCCATGATGACTAGGGACTAAATCTCTGAAACTGTTAGGCAAGCCCATAAATATTTATAAGAGTTGCCATGATCATGGAGGTCTCTTCACAGCAAGAGAACAGTGACCAAGCTACCAGTTATTACAGTTTTATAGGAGATAAAAAAGAAAGCTACTAAATGGTTAAAAACAACAGGCTGGGCATGGTGGCTTATACCTATAAACCTGAAGCAGAAGGACTGCCATCAGTTTGAATCTAGTCTGGAATACAAAATGAAATTCTGTCTCCAAAAACCAAGAGAAAAGGTTAAGAAATAATTGCCAAGACATAAATCTAGATGGTTATAGTTTATAAATGATAATTACTAAGATAAACATTTAAAAACGGGGTATAATGGAGCACACCTGAACAAAAGTGTACTTCAATGAAGAATTAATTCACCCCCTCTTTTTAAGACAAGTTCTCTCACTATGTATGACCTAGAGTTTACTTATGTAGATCACAATGCCCTCAAACTCAGAGATCTACCTGACTCTATTTCCAGAGTTCTGGGATTAAAGGGGAGTGCCATCATATCTACCTGCTACTTCCTACTTTTGACTGGGGCTCATGAAACAGATTTGCTCTAAACTTGTTACACAGTCCAGGCTGGTCTTGAACTCCTTACCCTCTTGCCTCTGCTTCTCAAGGACTGAGAGTATGAGTGTGCTCCAACATCCCACACCCTATGCAGTACCAACTGAGCTGCTACATTAGAGCCTTGAAGCAAAGAGATTAAACATCTGGGCCTGGTGGTGCAGATCCCTAATTCTAGGTATTTAGGAAGCTGAGGCAGGAAGATCACGAGTTCAAGGACAACCGGGACAACTTAATGAGATCTCAAAAACAAGGTAAAAAAGGCTGTGGAGTAGACCACTGTCTAGCTTGCTTGAGGCCTCCAAGCTCAATCCCCAATAGTGAGTATTTTACAAAACAAAAGGGGGAGGAGCGTTAAGTGACCAAAGAAACAGAACCAGTTGGCTATATGACACAGGCTGGATTCTTAGCTACTTAAGTTCTTCACGTTTTCAAAATTAAGTAAAATATACTTGGTTTCAAAATTTATTCATTTTGCTTAAAAATTATTTTGATCTATTTCAGGAACATGTCTATCACTATTATAAATATGTAGTCGATTTCTAATAGCTTTTGAGGGCCAGTGGGATTCTCAGTGGTTAGAGCCACCTGCTGCCAAGCCTGAAAATCTGAATTTGAGTCCCAAAATTATATGGTAGAAGAAGGGAAATGACTGCCATGAGCTGTCCTGATTTCCAAATGGCAAAATGACATGTGTGCAACCCAACCCCACAGTAAATAAATATAAAGTATTTTAAAAATTCCATTAAAAAGAGAGCATCGGGCTGGAGTGATGGCTCAGTGGTTAAGAGCACTGACTGCTCTTCCAGAGGTCCTGAGTTCAATTCCCAGCAACCACATGGTGGCTCACAGTCATCTGTAATGGGATCCAATGCCCTCTTCTGGTGGGTCTGAAGAGAGCTACAGTGTATTCATAAAATAAATAAATAAATTAAAAAAAAAGAAAGTATCATATCTCACCATAAAAATATGAGTTTTTAAAGACAGAGGTCTCTCCATGTAACCGTGGAGGTCCTGAAACTCTCTATGTAGGTTCAAATTCAGAGATCCACTTGTGCCTGTCTCCAAGTGCTGGGATTAAAGATGTGCCACTACACTTGGCTCCTAATATTCTTTAAAATTATTAATTATCCAATATTTACTGGTGTACTGGTTGGTTTTGTGTGTCAACTTGACGCAAGCTGGAGTTGTCACAGAGAAAGGAGTCTTCCTTGAGGAAATGAGACCCCGCTGTCAGGCATTTTCTCAGTTAGTGATCAAGGGTGGAGGGCCTATTGTGGGTGGTGCCATCCCTGGGCTGATGGTCCTGGGTTCTATAAGAAAGGAAGCTGAGCAAGCCAGTAAGTAACAGCCCTCCGTGGCCTCTGCATCAGCTCCGGCTTCCTGACCTGCTTGAGTTCCAGTCCTGACTTCCTTTGGTGATGAACAGCAATGCGGAAATGTAAGCTGAATAAACCCTTTCCTCCCCAGCTTGCTTCTTGGTCATGATGTTTGTGCAGGAATAAAAACTCTGACTAAAACACCTGGTGTATATTGACACCTGGTGTATATTGGAACTAGGCACTGCTTTGGATCCTGATTTCTATCCTTAATAACTTTAGACTGAATAACTCAAAACTTTTTTTTTTTAATACTGTGAGGAACTTCTGTTCAAATTCAGTTTTGTTGGAAGCATTCTTCCTAGTCAGTTTTTGGCAGACTATTGCATAAGTACAGTATTAAATGTAAGGGTCTAAGGCGCAGGAACAATGTGTGTACTGTCATCCAGCATTGAACCACATGCTACACTATAACTGCCACTTCCAGTGTACACCCCTGCTAATGCTTTTCAATTGATTTACAGCTTTTTCTGTTCTTATACTGGTTATTTTAATACTGATATCAATTGATAGCATCTATGATGGATTGGATGGTGCAATTTGGTTTATATATATATATTAATATCACAAGTTATTTGTAATGATTGTGGTTATTGTATAAATCAGAAAAATATTTAGAAAAGTTAAAAATGTATTTAGCATGTACATAATCATTTTTTAAATTATGAAGGAAAAAGGATGTGATATTCTTTTTTTTAATAGTTAAGAGACTTTATTCTAAAAGCTATAATTACAGTGCTTGTCAAAATGAAAACTGAAAACAAGTACACAAAACAGTTAATTACTATTGTGGTGACATTTTTTTAAGGCTTGCATATATGTATATGTATATGCATATGTAATAGTTTAAGTTATCATAAGAAGATGTACAGGTTCTTATTAAATTATTAATTGTAATTAAATTAAAAGTATTTAATTACATACACAAGCAATAAAATGTTTGAATATAGTCCAATTATGTAGCTTGGGCTAGCCTTGAACTCATTTTAGGTTCTCAAGTGCTAGGATTAAAGGTGCACATAACCAAACCTGGTCTTTAATCCTAGCACTGGGGGAGCAGTGGCAGGTGGAGCTCTGTGAATTCAAGGCCAGTCTTATCTACACAGTGAGTTCCAGGTTAGCTGCTAGCCCAGAAGTACATTGTGAGACTGTCTCAAACAACAACAACAACAAAAACCCCCAAACAACAACAAAAACCAAACCAACAACAAAACCAACCAACCAACCAACCAACCAACACACTAAAGCCAAGCACAGCAAGGCGGCTGGTCCATGCCTGCAAGTCCAGCACTGAGCTTCAGTTCCACAGTGAGGCTCTCTCTTAAAAAGATGAAAGACAAAAACACATAAAAACAAAATAAAGCAAAACAAAAGGTTTATTAACAAAATCATCATGATTATTATTTTAAATTGCAGATAGGTATTGCTATGTACCCAAAGTTTAACAGGAACTCATTACGGGGCAGGCTGGCCTTAGGCTCATGGCAATTCTGCATTAGCCTCCTAAGGGCAGAGACTACATGTATGAGACACCGGGCGGGCCAGGCTTCAGGGCAGTCCACAAGAAGGTGGGAGGTGTTGGATCCCCTTGAGCTGGAGCTATATCTGGATGTTAGCCACCTGATGGGGCTGCTGGGAGCTGAAGTCTGTCTGGTTCTATTACAAGTGGAGTGTACTCTTTTAACCCTGAGCCCTATTTCTTCTTTCTGTGTCTGTGTGCACATGGAGGTCAGAGCAGCGTGTAGGTTATTCTCTGCTATCACTGTCTATTCCTCTGAGGCAGGGTCTTTCCTTAAACCTGGGCTTGATTTTCTTGGACAGACAGGAAAACAGCAAGACCCAGAAATCCTCTCACTACTTCTCCAGTAGCTGGAATAACAGGTATTCATGGGCTACCTGGCTTGTTATATGTGTGCTATGTATGTGAATGCTGGTCTTCATGTGGCAAGGTTTTTTTTTTTTTTTTTAAAGATTTATTGATTTTATATGAGTACACTGCAGCTATCTTCAGACACACCACAAGAGGGCATCAGACCCCATTGCAGATGATTTTGAGCCACCATGTGGTTGCTGGGAATTGAACTCAGAACCTCTGGAAGAGCAGTCAGTGCTCTTAACCACTAAGCCATCTCTCCAGTCCTGCAACAAGTATTCTGAGCTACTTCTCCAGCCCCTAGTTTTAAAAAGAACAAATGGATTTGGTGAGATGGCTTAACTGGTAAAGGTGCTTGTTGTGATACATACACAATGGAAGGAGAGAACTGACTCTCCCAAGTTATCTTCTGATCACCACACATGTGCTACACACACACACCACAAACCAACAGACAGACAAACAAACAAACAAACAAACAAACAACATTTTTCAAAGGAACCACATGAACAGAGCTTTTGGAAATGATATTCACTATTGGTAACAGGAATTAACTTACCCAGCTTCTTACTTGGCTTAGGATGAGATGACAGTCCATGGTCATCTCTTCTACTAGAAGAAACAGTGACTTCATTATCAAATTTCTTCATATCATTCTTACTGTCTGTTGTGTCAGGGCTATCAATTTTCAGAATTTCTTTAAGCATCCGTGTTCCTTTCTTTTTCGAAAATGATTCATAGGTAGGCGGGTGAGAAGAGAATAAACATTAGATTTAGGTAGCTTACTCATCTTTCTTCTTGATTTTCTGAGTTTTTCTTCTTCTTTTGAGGTTTGTCCTGATGCAGCTAGACAAGAGCTCTATCTAGTGCTGGGTACTGGGCTATCTCCCCAGCCTTTGCTCTTTCTTTTGAAGAGTTCCTGCTGTTAAAAATTAAAATGCTTGGGCTGGAGAGACGGCTCCAAGAGGTCCTGAGTTCATTTCCCAGCAACCACATGGTGGCTCACAACCATCTGTAATGGCATCTGATGCTCTCTTCTGGTGTGTCTGAAGACAGTGACAGTGTACTCATGTACATAAAATAATAATTCTTTAAAAAATTAAGATGCTTACTGAATTCATCTAAGACAATTAGATTGTCAAAGGCTGAAATATGCTCAGATTTCAAAGTAATATTTATCCTATTCAACTTCTCGCCTATTTAACAATAGTGTTTAAAAAGCAGGGCTCTGTGGTCTAATGGGAAAACAAAAACAAAACCCCACAAAAACAACAACATAAGAATGGTTAAACTGCTCCAAGCAACCCTAGCTTTCCTCACTTGATCACCAAAGTGATGCAAGGTATCACCCAAGAGGAGACAGAGGGTTTGAACAGACGCATGGGGCGTGCACGTGAGGCTGCTGAACACACGAACCATAGCAAAGGACTGCGGTGACAGATGCTCCTCATCTGGAGAGTCTCCATGACGAGGTGACTGTGCTTCACTCTCCTTAGAGACAGTCAAAGATGCTAAAAAGTTCTCAATTCCAAAGTGAGGCTAGAAGAATAAATATGTGTAAAGATAAAAGTAGAAAGTAGCAAAAAGCTAGATTTTACTCTAAAAATTCAACTTTTAGTCAACCATCTCCCTAGATGTAAAAGTTTGAGAAGAGGCAGCAGATAAAGGGTTTACTTATTTATTTACTTACCTTATGAACTGCATTTGGGTAACTAGTCACAACCTTCTGAGCTTCTGAAGTTCCTGGACTTTCATTTCTCTTCAATAGTTTAATATTACATCTGGCAGACCCTCCAGAAGTCTATATGAAAGAATAAGTTTCTTGTGCTAGTAAATTTATAATTACTACTTAATAATATTCTATATAAATTCAGCAAAATATTCTATGTACTGCATTCTCTCTTTCTCTTGTTTATTCATCTTTACGTGTGTAGGTGTTTTACCTCCATGTATGTCTGTATATGCCATGTAAATAAGGAATTGAACCCAGTTCCTGGGGAAGGCCAGACAATGCTCTTAACCAGTGTGCAAACTCTCCAGTCCCAAGAACTGCTTTCTTTTGATGCCATAAGGAAAAAAGGGATGAGAGGGACTAATAACTTGAAGAGAGAAAATTATTATTTTCATTAACTTGTACGTAAGATTTAGATTTCTTTCAATTTTGAATATAAACAATAACCACTGATATGGTTTGTATATTTGTGCTCTCCCACCTCGACGGAGATAACCAGCTTCAGATGAGGTAATGTGGTAGAACTCTCATGATGGGATGAGCAATCTCAAAAGGAGAAAAAGGGCTGGAGAGATGGCTCAGAGGTTGAGAACACTAACTACTCTTGCAGAGGTCCTGAGTTCAATTCCCAGCAACCACATGGTGGCTCACAACCATCTATAATGAGGTCTGGTGCCCTCCTCCGGCATACAGGCATATATGCCAGCAGAACACTACATATAATAAATAAATGGAGAAAGAAAACAGCCCTTTCTTTCTAACAGATCAGAATTTAAGACAGGAGCCTCTACCTAAGGTCAAGAAGAAAACAGGACACAGAATCTTACTGGATCCTAACTGTATTTCAGTGAGTTAAGAGGACAACTTGTGCTACATGACAACTTGTCTAAAAAATATTTGATCCCAATTTGGCCACTTTTTGTTTTTGGCAATGGCAGAACTGAACCAGGGCTTTTCACACAGCAGAGAAGTGCTCATCACGGAGGGATCTTCCCAATCCAAGAGATCCGTTAAAAATGCTTGTTAAAGTATGGTATGTATGCATAAAGATATACATAATTATGCATCCCAAACTCTTTGATTTTTACCTCATACATCTACATGCTCCCTATCAAAGACTAGAGACTGTAAAACAAATACAATGTATGACCTCAGCTTCCCCCACTCTAACTCTATACAGTTTGGCTTTTTTTTTTTTTTTTTTTTTTAAAGGATAAGCTTTTTTTTTTTTTTTTTAAACTTTATTTATTTATTTATTGTAAGTACACTGTAGCTGTCTTCAGACACCCCACAAGAGGGCATCAGATCTCATTGCAGATGGTTGTGAGCCACCATGTGGTTGCTGGGATTTGAACTCATGACCTCTGGAAGAGCAGTCAGTGCTCTTAACCACTGAGCCATCTCACCAGCCCCAGTTTGGCTTTTTAAACTTTGCTACCAGTGTATGTATTAATTTAGATTCTTGTAAGTTTCAGGGAATCTCCTAGAATCCACCTCTCATAGGCAAATGGACTCAAGCTAAGTACTGTCAATTAACAGCCTGTTTCCCTCTACACTTACCCATTCCTGAAGGTAGGACCTATATCCCTTTCCTCAGTCCTGGGACAGTGCCCCTCACCCCAACCCCCCAACTCTCAAGACCATGGGACTAAGAATTTCAAATATACACCAAAAATTTTTTTTTCCTTCCTAAAACTCCTATCTTCTGCTCCAGGTGTTCCCTGAGAACCTGCATCCAGGAAAGCTCCCAAACAGGTACCCATAGGTACTTTGGCCTAACTTCAGACTGCTTCAACCTGGACCGCAATAAAACAACAGCTCTTCCTGGACTTTGCCAACATTCCAGATTTTTGCTGACACCCAATAAACAAAATTGCACCCTAATGTCAACAAGAAGTTGTCATGGCCAATCAGAGTCCCTTATTTATTTATTTATAATCAACAAAAGGCTGGGATATTTGGTTTAGGACGAGGACAAGGGACCGGGTGCAAATTTTATATATCAAAGCAGACCTGGCTTCCTGGTACTCTCAGTATCCCTCAGTCCCTACCTGGCATACCCTGCCCTCAACCCTGAATTTTTCAGCCCAGGAGCTGGGTTATCCTTCCCTCAGAGACTCTTCCCTATATAATCCGGACATTTTGGTCTCTTACCCCACCCCTCCTCCTCCTTCTTTCTCTGCTCAAAGTTTCTCTCTTTCTCCTCCCTACTCCCTATGGAAACTTCCCTGGCCTTAATCCACAGGGCCAGTGAACTCGGCTGCCTGAGAACAAATTCCCAATAAATCTGCCTTTAATATATCCTAATCTGGCTTGAGTTGGCTCATTTCACCGGTGGAGAAATAACCTATCAGTATGTACAAACAGATACTCCCACACATTTTATATTACGTGAGAAGAGCTCTAAGTAACCAATAATTTATTTCTGTTTTAGAGATAAAGAAGTTGAGGTCATTAAGAATTGCTCAAGACCATCCAAGTGTTTAAGTGTTAAAACAAGGATGACAGATGACTCTATTCTGAACTGTGGATTCCAGCTGTATAACCATCCAAATGACTGACTATGACTTTTACTGTATTCCTTATTGGCTGTTGAGAAGGCTGCAAAATTTACTAGATGCTATACAACAACCAAGTGCATAAAAAAAATCCAGCTATTAAAAATGTCAAAGAAAAATTACCTGTTTATTGGACAACTTTTGATTCTGACACTCAGCTTTAGGACTCTTATATTCTTCCTTAACTAGAGACAAGAAAACAGAACATTTGGGAAATGAAAGTGCTTACTAAACACCAGTTAAGTTCATCAAGAATTCACTATAGCAAAACAGCATTTAAAGGATTTCAAGGAGTATAGTTTCCTCCCGTGTCTGTGCCTCCCTCTCCTCATCCCTTCTCCCTCCTGTCAATGCTGAGATCAAACCTAGGTGCTGGTAATTCTAGGAAAGTGCTCTACCACTGAGCATAGTCCTAAATGAGAAGACATATGAACTGAAAAAATTTATAATCCATCTGAGACAGAGAAGGATAATTGTAGATAATCAGATGGGAATGGAAAGTGGGCTTTGTCATCTGAATTGGGCATTGAAAGGAGATAGGTTCTCCAAGCAGAAAAGAGGAGGTTTAGAAGTCTAGGGGAAAAAAGATTTTGAGAAAAGACATGAGAGCAGAAAGGAATGTAATGGTGGGTCAGCTCCACGGGAGGTAAGAACTGATACTGAGCTCACTGGAACTGCAGGAACAGGTGAGTCATTATCTGGAGGATAGTGACACACGGAGTAAGGTTGTAAGCAATGGATGAGCAAGCACAGAAAGGTCATCTGATCAGAAGTGTATTTTAGTAAGGAGACAGATAAGAAAGTTCTTTTTTTTTTGTTTTGTTTTTGTTTTTTCGAGACAGGGTTTCTCTGTGTATCTCTGGCTGTCCTGGAACTCACTCTGTAGACCAGGCTGGCCTTGAACTCAGAAATCTGCCTGCCTCTGCCTCTCAAGTGCTGGGATTAAAGGCGTGCATCACCACTGCCTGGCGAAAGTTTTATTTTTGAAGCTGGGTGGTGTGCACCTTTAATCCCCACGTTGAGAGGCAGAGACAGAGGCAGGCAGATCTGAATTTGAGGCCAGCCTGGGCCAGCGCTACACAGAGAAACCCTCTGTCAAAACCACAATGATCAAAACCAAAACCAAAATAAAACAAAAATGAATAACCAACCAACCATCCCCTATAAACAAAAAAAGTGTTTTGAGTTTGTATATGCATGATATATATCATGCATATAAACCCATGTATGTGATATATATCATACACATAAACATAAATATATATCACACACACACACACACACACACACACACACATATATATATATATGCACACATATACATATACACATACATGGAGGCCAGATGTCAATAATGGGTTTCTTCCTTATCATTTCCCATTTTACTTTTTGGATAGGGCTTCTCATTGAACCTGGAGTTTACCCATTCAGCTAGCCTGGCAGCCAATGAGTTCCAGGGATCTGCCTGTCTCCACCCCTAGGTCCCCTCCATGGTGGAATCACAGACAGAGGTCTTGGCACTTGGCTTCAAGAGGTGTACTGAGGATCTGAATTCAGGTGTAACTGTTTGATTTTCAGACAGAGATTTTGAGAGATTTTGCTCTGTATCCTGGTTTGTTCTGGAAATCACTATGTAGCTCAATGCTGGCCTTGAATTTGTGGTGGGGTCTTCCTGATTCCATTCTTGAGAATGCTGGGATTACAGGTGTATATTATCTTACTATTCCTGTTAAGGGGAAGTTACATGGCAATGGAGGAAGTAAAAACTTGAGAGATTATAAGACTTAGGCAATAAAAAGCTAAACAGATGAAGGAGATGCAAAGGACAGCAGTCAGTAGTGGACAATCTACTGCTGTATCACATACACTAGGTTCTATAGTCGTTCTATAACTCATCTTCAACTCCTTATCACTGGACAGTTTGTTAAGCCAGTGTGGAAAAGGAAGAATAAAAGTCTGGGCATGGTGACACATGCCCCTGGCCCTGGCATTTAGGTAGTGGGAGCAGGTGGGTCAGCAGTTCTACGTCATCTGTAGGAACACTGTGTTCCTGGGCCATGGGAGCCTGTGTTAAACACCACCAATGAAAACCACAGCCAGCAGCAAAAGACAGTGAGAAGAGAGAGGGGAGCAGATACAAGGGAAGCAGACAAAGAAGGAAGCAGACAAGAAGGAAAAAACGAATGAAGGAAGGCAGGACAGGAAGTAATCTTACAAAAAGGAAATGAAAATGCTAGGACACACAATTGGTAAGCCTTTGTTGAGATATAAAATCCACATAGTAACCTACATCACTGTATAAAACAATCTCAGGAAACATTTTAGTGTATTTTCATTAAATGAACAATTTTTAGCTGATGCATGAGGAGGATAGATAAATTAAGGTTGGATTTGATTTGTGTGTGTTGTATGCATGTGTGGAATTATATGTAGCCATATTAAAATCTAAACAAATATTAACGAATCTTAAAAATACTAGCAATCTTATTCTTCAAGCATGTCAAAATGATTATGAACTATGATCTAGTAGGATTTACCCTAAAACTCCAAGTTTGCTCAGCACTGGACATACAGTTGGACATATCAGATAAATTGAACAAAGGGTAAATCATTCCAACAGATACAGCAAAAACAAAAATGAACCAAGGATCTAGGTGTGGGGATGTAATGGAGACATGGCTCATTTGTGTCAGCTGCACAAGCCTGAGAATCTGAGTCTGGATCACCAGCATTTCTGTAAGAGCTAGACTTGAAAGCATGTACCTGTTACCTCTAGGGGAAGGAAGAGTGGAGACAGGAAGATCTCTGGATCTCATTGGCCAGTCACAACCAGTGACCTCCAGATTTTGTTAGAGACCCTGTCTTAAAAAATAAAGCAGATAGCTGGGTGGTGGTGCAGGCCTTTAATCCCAGCATTCAGGAGGCAGAGGCAGGTGGATCTGTGAGTTTGAGGCCAGCCTGGTTTACAGATCAAGTTCTAAGACAGCCAGGGCCACAAAGAGAAACCTTGTCTTGAAAAACAAAACAAAACAAATCCAACAACAACAACAACAACAAAAAAGGTAGATGGCCCAGTGCATAAAGGCGTCCTTGCTGCCACGATGGGAGAAAAGAACCAATCCCTGTTAGCTGTCCTCTTGACTTCTACACATATCCAAAAAAATAAATGTAACAAAAAGTTTAAGGAAAAAGATGGAGACAGAACGAGGTAGATACATGATATCAGACCCACATGTGTCTGCATGCACTTGCAGACACATCTATGTGAACATGCAAGTCCTCATAAAAGAATCTAAGAAAGTAGGTATTTCGTTCAGTGGTATACTATTTGCCTGGTGGGTATGAGGTACTAATCCTCACAACAGAAAGAAGAAAGAAAGAAAGAAAGAAAGAAAGAAAGAAAGAAAGAAAGAAAGGAAGGAAGGAAGGAAGGAAGGAAGAAAGAGAAAAAAGAAAAAGAAAAAAGAAAGAAAGAAAGAAAAGAAAAGAAAGAAAGAAAGAAAGAAAGAAAGAAAGAAAGAAAGAAAAAGAAAATCCCAGCACTTGGGAGGCAGAGGGAGGCAGATTTCTGAGTTTGAGGCCAGTCTGGTCTACAGAGTGAGTTCCAGGACAGCCAGGGCTACACAGAGAAACCCTGTCTTGAAAAACCAAAAAAACCAAAAAACAACAACAACAAAAAAAAAAAAAGAAAGAAAGAAAGAAAGAAAGAAAGAAAGGAAGGGGGGAGGGAAGGAGAAAGGAAGGAAAGGAAAGAAACAGGAGGAAGAGAGAAAATAAGAAATATTTAACAAAATTTAGCTCTTCCTAGGTAAAATAAGAATTGAAAAAAATACGGTTTTTCCTCACCAAATAGAGGACACTAAAACTCATAGCTAAAAAATAACATGTGATTGTACAGGACAGAAAGGTTACCTCTTAAGATCAAGGTTAGGACTGCTCTTCTTTAAAAACAAAAAATTAACACAGCCTCATCAATAGTAGTATCACAAAGAATAATGTAGGGATAAATTAAACAAAACCAGTCTAAGGATTATGTTCTGTAAATGGTAAGACATCAGTGGAAAAAAATTAGAAAGAACTAAATAAATGGAAAGGCATTTGTGTTCACAGGCAGGGGAATGGTGTAGTGTTGAAGACACTCCATCCAATGTGATCTATAAACATTCCAGGCAGTTTTTGCAGAAATAGATTAATTATGAAAAATTCATATGGAAATAAAAAGACCCAGAATAAATGAAACTACCCTGAAAGACAAACAAAGCTGTGTGATTCAAAACTGTTTGATTTCCATACTAACGCTGCAGTAAGGAAGACAGCATGCTGTGTGTATAGATGTGTATAGATCCGCAGACTGGACTGGAGGCTAGAACTGACCACAAAGATGTCTATTCAACTGATTTTTAGGAAGGGTACCAGGAGAATGCAATGTGCTGCAACAACTGGGATCTACCTGCAGGAATATTAATTATCTTCTCCTTCCTCATTGCTGTAGACTTTAAAGTGATAGGTCTATTTTATTTGTAATTCTGTCTGTCTCTGTATGTGTGGGCATGTGCATGCCACGGCATACAGGTCCATCGGAGGATGACTCTGGAGGTTGTTTCTCCCCTCCATCACGTGTATCTTTGGGATTGAACTCAAGTTGCCAGGCTTGAACGGCAAGAGCCTTTACCTGCTGGGCCATTTCATTTGCCTGATGAATTTATTTTAAAGTATATGTTACATTTCAACAAAGCTATTTGTTAAAAAAAAACAACCAACCAACCAATCAACAGCAACCAAAAAAAAAAGAAAAAAAAAACGACAAAAGGAAGATAGCATATAAACACTTTTCTACCTTAAAACTTACATTTTCGGTGAGGGTCATGTTTTCTTTGCTGATGTCTGACACTGTGGTCATTAAAGCCAGATTTTTGAGGTTCAGTTACTTGACTTATTTCTTGAGGTAGAACTGCACCCTGAAAGTTAAAATTCTCAAAAATCAATTAAATAAAACGTTAATATAACTTCAAAAAAAATTAAAATTAATTTAGTAAATATTATACAGCTTTTTAGAAAAATACACAGAAAACTATAGAATTTAAAAAACTACTCAAAAACCACTCTTGGAAATAAGAATCATTAATATAATGGCCATCACACTCCAGGATTTCCCTATGTGTTAGTTAGAAAGCAAGGTAAATAAAAGACAAGTACCTTTCCAAAATTCTCTTCTCAATAGAAACAATTCAATATAACTTTGTTTTAAGTTAACAAATACAGAAACTAAAGAAAGCACTAAATTTTGAATGTTTCTTCATTTATAGAAACGTCTCTAAATCTTTAAAAAATATTTCCATGATTTTATGTGTATGGGTGTTTTGCCTACATGTATCTCTGTGTACCATATGTGTGCCTGGTGGCTGAGGAGGTCAGTAGAGGGCATTGGAGCCCCTGGAACTGAATTACAGATGGTCATAAGCCACCATGTGGATGGATACTGGCAACCAAACCCAGGTCCTCTACAAGAGCAGCAAGTGCTTTTTTTTTTTTTTTTTTTGGTTTTTCGAGACAGAGTTACTCTGTGTAGCCCTGGCTGTCCTGGAACTCACTCCGTAGACCAGGCTAGCCTCAAACTCAGAAATCCGCCTGTCTCTGCCTCCCAAGTGTTGGGATTAAAGGCGTGCGCCACCACTGCCCAGCCAGCAAGTGCTCTTAACTACTGACCTTTCTTTCTCTCCCCAGGCCCCTAGAAATTTCTCTAAAAATTTCTTTAGACTTAGTTCAAGACAAACAGACTTTTAGCGTAAGTGGTGATAAGGAGCAAGTGGGTGTGACAGAAGAACACGGCTGGATATGCTACTTCACCTCCATTATTATCTTGATTCAGTGATGTTAACAACTTCCATTAAAAAGGCTTTAAAATTAATATTTTTTTTTGTATTTTATGAAAGGTGAGGATATTAACTCATTTACATTCCATTCTATGTTCTTTCCTCAATAGTGGATTTTAAAATTAATGTTTATATTTCCAAATGAAACACAACTTTCCAGCAAGACTGATCACAAACCCACAGTTTATAAATGGGCACAATAGTAAGATGCCATGGTTAAGTTTTACATAGATTGTTTCTCTCCTCTCTGTGAACGCACACATGTACATGTTTACACACTGATGTCCTTATGCCTTCCTCAAATACTTCTCTACTTCTCAATGTAATTTTTTTGACAAGGTTCTATACTGAACCTGGAGATCACCATTTCAGCTATACTTGACTGGCCAGCAAACCCCTAGGATGTGCCTGTCTCCAAAACCCCGGTGCTGTGGCTACAGACATCTGGCATTATGCCTGGATTTTAATTAAGTACTGAGGATCCAAATTCATATCCAAGCACTTTACCCATCGAGCCAACTCTCCAATCTTAAGATCTTTTGTTTGTTGAAAAGAAGAGAAAGCCAGAGGGCAAAAAGAAACAACTTGCTATAGATGAATCTGCAAGAAGTAAAAGCAGAGGCTGGAGAGATTAAATACAAAGTAATTTTCATCATTTTGCTTTTGGCAAGTCCTATTTATCTTCAGTTCTGGGCACATACAAATTCCCATTGGGTACAAAGGAACATCATGTCCTAGCTGGTACCGAGCTTGTTTCAAAGCACTTGTGACATATGAGAGAGTTAGGGAAAAACTCAGTGAGCTCTCAGGCACAGGAACAGTCAGGCTCTTCTTTCCTTTTTTTTTTTTTTTTTAAATATTTCCAATTCATTATTTATTTTTTCAGTTATCAGAATTATCGTAACTATTATATTTTATGAAATAAGGAACAAAACCACAATCACTAAAGAAAATGTACAATCTCCAAGAATTCTGATATCTCTTATAAAGTATAAACTACTCAAAATATCTTGTTATTCTTAAAAGAAGCATATAGCATACTGACAAACTATATATGCAGACAAAATTGGAAAGCTCTGATTTGTTTCTTTACTTTCTGTTTTCCAAGTATTTTCTTTCCTTTTGTGGATTGTACTTTGTTATTGTTTCATTTTCTCACATAATTGGTGTTTAGGGAAAATGCTGCATTTTTGTTAAATATATAATAAAACTTATATGATTTTCTTCAGATCCAATATTTCGATATCTACTTTTAGTCATTGAATCTCCAATATTAGCTCCTGAGATGAACCAAATGTTGACTTTTCAAATACTGTCTATGAGAATTTTGAATATAAAAATTTATACATATTAAAAATTAACAAGAATTAAAAAGTAAAGGGATCTCTTTTAAATAAACCTTATAATTAAATCATAATTTTGGGCAAAATTCATGTAATTGGGTCTAATGCCTTGCTTTTTCTTTGACTATTTGTGTTTATTGTCTTGCTTGTTCCTTGACTATTTGCAGCTATTGTATTGCTAGATCCTCAACCTAGAACTGACCTTAATACTTGCATGTAATTAAAATGGTATAAAAGCATAAAGGAGGAGGGGGTGGGATAGGGGGTTCTAGGAGGGGAAATGGGGAGAGGGGACGACATCTGTATTGTAAATAAATGAAATATCCAATTAAAAAAAAGAATAGTAAACATGTATTAAGTCAGGTTCTTCATTCCTTAACAGTTACATGGCATGAGACTCCACCATCATAGCAAGATGCCTGGAGAGCTTCTGGAAACAGCAGTGCTTTCTGAGGGGTTTTGAGCCTAAGGAAGTGAACTAGAACAGAAGGATCAATAGACTGGCATAAAAAAATATTGTCTGTCTATTACTGCCAGATATGTTAAATGCATTTTGCTTCCGTTATCTCAATTTCAGTATAGCAAAGGCACCAACTTACATATAAATAAACTGAAGTCCAAAAGCGATAATTTCCTTGAAGAATTACTGATATTTGAGCTCCAAAATTTAAGTTTAAAGTACTTAAAAAAACAGATATATAATTCTAAATGGAAAGCAAATACTGTAGTTGTGAATAGATCTTTGGGTCATTAAAAAGCCAACTTATTATTTATGTGTGCATGTACATGTGGTGAAATTGCAGGTGGCTGTGAGCTGCCTGACATGGTACTGGGAAGCAAGCCTAGGTGTTCTGACCAGCAGTGCCCAGTCCTAACTGCTCATCTGGTGCTCCAGCATCCTCCGGGATGTTTCTGTAAAGATAGTCATGTTGGGCACACTGCTATATTTTACTAATGAATGCTTGAATTTTTGTATTTTTGTATTTTTTTTACTTTTGGTGAGTTCTCTAGAATTTACTTAAGCTCAGTCTCTTCTTTCTTTCCCTTCCTTCCTTCCTTCCTTCCTTCCTTCCTTCCTTCCTTCCTTCCTTCCTTCCTTCCTTCCTTTCCTTCCTTCTTTCTCCTCTTCCTCCTCCTCCCTTTTCTTCTCCTCTTCCTTCTTCTCTTCTTTCCCCTCTTCTTTTTTTGGTTTTCTGAGACAGAGTTTCTCTCTGCAGCCTTGGCTGTTCTGGAACTTGCTCTGTAGACCAGGCTCTGCCTCCTGAGTGCTGGGATTAAGGGCTTGGGCTATCATCATGCCCAAACAAACTCACCTTCTTAATATTAATATTTCATGAGTTTAAAAATGACTTACGTAGCTTTCACTTCTTGGGATATACAAGAGATAGACAAAACACGGCTGTGTTTAGCTGAAATAAGTTGTATCTAGAAAGATTTAGCAGTAAAGGAGGAGACCATATTCTAAGTGGAAAGAACAACAGAACACACAATTCCAAATGGAAATCATTTGTGCAAAATGGAGAGTAAAGGGTGAAATCTGACTGTCAACATTATTTTATCAGATAGCTGGACATTTATCTATGTGAATTAGTATGGTCACATTATTGGACTAGAGTTCCCAGAGGTTTTTGGTCTTAGAGAAAGAGAAGAGACTCAACAATAACAGGTTTGTTAGAGCAAAGCACCAGTGTACTCTTAAGACAGAGAGCCGGCTCAAGAGTCAGTGTCTGTCCTGATGTTTTTCTTGGCCTGGGTTTTTCTTTGGGTCTCGTCCATGTATCTCAGACCTTTCCATACATCTAGTAGGGGACTGTTTTAAAAGCCAACTTCTACACCATTGTTTTTGGCCAGTTATTTAATAACTCCTTACCTACCTTTCATATCAGCTATAGATTACAAAAAACATTATGAGTGGGAGGAGTCAGGCTGGAATCCAGTGGTACTGGGCAGGAAGCTCTATACATTCAAAAGTATTAGCAACACATTTTTAGGGCTGCCAAGATCTCAGCAGTCCCCAATGCCTTCATTTTGTATGTGTGAGCATAGCAGTCCAGAGTACTACACTGTATAATTTGTGTCATGAAGCCTGCAGTCCAGAACTTGAGGTTCAGCACTTACTACAGTCTACTGCCACATGGCATAAAGCGGTTTTCAACCCAGAAGATACCTTACTCAATTATGCCTTCAGGCCAGTTCAGGTGAAAGGATCATTAAGAGAGATTACACAACATTATACACAAAGAACTTTAAGTGAAAGATAACACCAAGGAGAACATTGGGAAGAGGCTAGGTTAGGCCTGGGAAGAAAATCTAAGGTCTGACTGGGGGAACCATGAAGTCCAATGACTTAGGATCTTGATACAAAAAGATAGCAAAAAGAAGACAACTAAAACTTTCATATAGGGGTGACAGCATACTAAAGCAGCAGCAGAAAGCCAGTGTGACAGAAGAGGACAGACAGAAACTCAGCTAGATCTGGGGGACATAAGTTCTTGATTCCAAGCTTTTGAGACTGTATGCCCGGGTAGTGATGGTGTAGAAACAAGAACAAGAGGAGAGGTGTTAGCTGGGGTTAATTTTGGGACATCTTGAGGTTGATGTGACACATACACTCCTCCTTTACAGACTGGCAATACTGGATTAAATACTTGATTAAGAGGTCAGAACCATAGATTATAGATTATTTATACTTGATAGACAGGTAAGAATCAAAGACATTAGTCAGGCATAAGGGAAAAGGAAAGCTGTTCAGTTCAGTGGAATGGTTTTCTAGTGAACCGCTGGAAAAGCAGGAATTAATATAGAAGATGTACATGCAAGAATCAGGGAAATATTTCCACTCACTTACCCACCCACTCATTCATCTTATGAAGCACTGTCTTGCTGTATTACATAAGTTGGCCTTGAACTCCTGGGTTAAATGGTTCTTCTGTATTAGCCTTCTGAGCTTCAGAGAGTAGCTGGGACTACAAATGTTTGCCACTGTGCACATACTTTTACAACCAGTATAGTGGTGCAGACCTATAATCCCAACACTTGGGAGGTAAGACAGGGATCAGGAATTTAAAAATGCCTGTAAAAGTCACCTATATTTGTTATTTCCAATTCTTTTTTTTTTCTTCTTTCCTTTCAAAAAGACGTATGTTTGCCACATGTGTCATGCCTGAAGAGACCAGAAGAGGGCATCACCTCCTCTGAAGCTGATCTAACAAGCAGTTGTGAGGCATCTGGCTTGGGTGCTGCAATAGAGCTCTGGAAGTCCTCTGGAAGAGCAGTACATATTCTTAACCACTGAGCCATCTCTGCAGCTCCTTTCCCTTCTCTCCTAAACCCACTCAAATCGTCTTTTACTATAATAGTCCTATCAGTGTGGTGAAACTGTCCTTGTCAAGGTTCCTAAGGACATTTACATGCTAAAATCTATGGTCTGTTTTTTGGTGCTGGGGATTAAAACCAGGTCCTCATATTTACTAGGTAGGCAGGTATTTTATCACTGAGCAAAATCTTCAGTTCCAGCTTCATTATTCAACAAGCATTAAATTCAAAAATTACCTTTATTGATATGTATCTGTGTGAGTGCACCTATGTGCATACGTGCCATGGCATGTTTACGGAGGCTGGAGTACAATCTGCAGCAGTGTATTCTTCCCTTCTATCCTATAGGCCATCTTGGGGACTGGATTCTGATGATAAAGCTTGGTAGCAGGTGTATTTACCCACCAAGTTATCCTAAATAATTTTTAAGGTTATTATTATTACTTAGACACAGTTTCACTATGTAGCTCTGGAACTTGATACATAGACCAGGCTGGCCTTGAACTTACAAAAATACATCTGCCTCTGCTTCCCAAGTACTGGGATAAAAACTGTGCACCACCATACACTGCAGTTATTTTTTATTATTTAATTTATTTTTAATTATGTATGTGCACCACAAGTAAACCTAAGGTTTTATTACTCCTCAGGTGCTGTCCAACTTGTTTTTTGAGACAGGGTCTAATTGGGACATGGCTTACCCCTAAGGTTAGACTGATCAGTGAGTTCCATGGATGTGTGTTTCAGCCTCTGGTGTTACAGGCAGGCATGTGCCTAGTACTGCCCTTTATGTAAGTGTTGGAGAACGAACTCAGGTTACCTGACAAGCACTTTACTGACTGTTTTAGTCACTGTTCTACTGCTGTGAGGAGACAACCTGACCGAGGCAACTCTTGTAAAGAGTATTTAGTTGTGGGGGTTAACTGTGCTTCAGAGGGTTAGTGCACTATCACCATGGTGGAGAGGATAGCAGCATACACAGTGCTGGGGCGGTAGCTCAGAGGTACATGGGCAGAGAGAAAGAGAAAACACTGGGCCAGGGTTTTTGAGGACTTCTGAAAACCTCAAAGCTCAACCCCAGTGACACACTTCCTCCAACAAGGCTACAGGTCCTTCTAATCCTATCAGGTAGTTCCACTCCCTGGTGACTAAGCATTTAAATATATCAGCCTATGGGGCCATTCTTATTCAAACTACCACACTGAGCAATTTTCTCAGGCTAGTGATTTTTTTAAATTTTTTTATGTTTTCGAGATAAGGTTTCAGAGTAGCTGAGGCTGACCTCAAATTCCCTATGTAACTGATCCCATTGCCTCTTCATCTGTTGAGGTAACAGGCATCTATCTATCTATCTATCTATCTATCTATCTATCTATCTATCTATCTATATATATATCTATATATCACCAGACTTCATTCTTGTATGTATGTATATACATTATTATTATTTTATTATTATTATTATTATTATTATTATTATTATTTATAGACATACATAATAATTATTTTATTATTATTTTATGTATGTATAGACATTCTTGTGTGTGTCTGTACACGCACATGCTTGTGCATGCACATGAATATGTGCTGGCTCATGTTGTATGTGTGCTCTAGGTGTTTTGCCCACTACTTTATTTTTTGGACAGGGTCTTTTTGAACCTGAGCTCACTGATTCAGCTAGCTTGGCTGACCCAGCAAGCCCCACGGATCTTCCTATATCTCGCTCTACAGCACTGAGATTACATGCAGGTACTGGTGTACTGCACCTGGCTTTTTTCCTCTGGCTGCTGAGGATTGGACTCAGGTCCTCATGCTTTCACCACGGCACTTTGCCAACCAAGCCAATTTCCCAGTGCCTCTTCTGTCTTGTGTTGAAGGGCCAGGGTTAAACTCTTGTAGGGTAAGCAGCTTTGTACCACAGCCTACAGTCCCTGACTTCTTTTTAATCTTTGTCAATGTTTGTTCATATTTAAGAAAGCCCTCTACCAGCATAACATTGTATATTCAAGTGAGGGAAAAATAAGTTAATGATGCCACTAAGGCCTTTGTTGAATTCAAAATGTAATCACTACAATTCTGTGAACAAGTAAAAATTATGCCCAAACTGATCTCGAAGAGAAGTTATATTCCCATTTACTGGTCCAACTTTATGTATGCCCAAAAGGAATTGTGAAAATTCATGATTGAAACTCTCATGAAATTTGGAGAGAAATATAACTGTAAATGAAAAGAAAAACCCTTTTCTTTAAACTAACTGTCCATCGAACAAAGAATGCTAACCTTCTCTTGTCTTGTTGGCTGCAAGTGTTGAATTTTTCCAGATCCCTGTAGAGATTGCCAAATGTTGCAAAATTCATCATCACCTTTAGTAGGTACCTAGTAAATAAACAAAAATTTATATGAAATATAGTATTAGAAATAAGACTGCTTACTACATATTGAATGATAAACAGAATACTTAAATGTCACTAAACCTCTCACTGCCCTGCTCCGGAGCTGAACATACTAACTCTAAAAGCACTGCAATGGAATCGAATTACTCTTCATAGACATGGTTCTAAATGGTTGCATTAAAAAGTATTTAAATCTAAACAAACTATACTACAAAGTCATCAGTTTGAGGCCCCCTCAGGTATGTAACAAGTCTGAAGACAACCTGCGCTTATGTGAGATCCTGTCTCAACCTCCCTTTCAAATAATGATATAAAATATTGCCCAAATTAGACTTATGTTTTTCTAATATGGTAACTTATTAACTCATTCAAACTTAGATCTGAAGACTTTATTTAAAAATCTTCATCTTTGCTGAGCTGGTGGCACACACCTCGCATCCCTAGTATTTGGGAGGTGTCAGCAAGAACTTGAGCTCCAGCCAGGCTGAGCTACCAAGTGAGAACCTGTCTAAAAACAAAAAAATATCCAATCTACACAGGCACAATCTAATAAATATAAAAACTGTGGATAAATGGTTTCATGCAGACTAAGACTAGGAAAAAACATGCACCAGAACTTAACACTGGGCCAGTAGGCAGTGCTTGTCTTAGGACCTACCACTTAGCAAATAAAAGTAGATAAGCAGAGCTCTGTAAATTCAGCCTGGTCTAGACTACATAATGGGTCCTAGGCTGTATAGTGAGATCCTGTTCAAAACAAACCTACAGATGAAGAAAAACTTAATTGTGGTTACTTGTCCAACTGGAGTGAATTTTGTGTTTGTTAACAATTACAATTTTGCAATGATAAATAATGTGTGTGTTAAAAGTGTGACTAAGCCTAAGACTTGGAAGGAAGGAATTAAAACTGTCTCACAGACAATAACCCTATGTTCCAAAAGCTGAAGAACATAATCGTGAAATGGATGGCAGGGATTTGAAATTTACTTCTTGCTATGTTTATGGAGGAGGACCTCAAACTCCTCATCCTCTGCCTCCAATCCCCATGCACCAGGCTTATAGTTGTGTGCCACCACATACTGTCTTGAAACTCTTTGATACATATGACATAATCTTCCCATTATGATTCAAATTTATTGTCACTCATAAGAGGTGTAGGACATTTAGATTATATAAGAAATTTAAGTGTTGTGCTAGTCAGTTTTGTGTCAATATGACACAAGATGGAATCATTTGGGAAGAGGGACTATCAATTGAGAAAATGCCTGGAGGCAAGTCTATAGTGCATTTTCCTTACTGAGGATAGATGTGGGAGGGCCCAGCTCACTGTGGGTGGCATCACCCTTGGGCTGGTAGTCCAGGGGGCTATAAGAAAGCAAACTAAGCAATCCAGTAAGCAGCAGTTCTCCATGGCCTCTATATCAGCTTCTGACTCCAGGTTCCAGCGCTGTTTGAGTTCCTGGCCTGACTTCCCTTCATGAAGGACTGAGAGGTGGAACTGTAAGGTGAAATAAACCATTTCCTCCCCAAGTTGATTTTGGTCATGGTGCTTTATCACAGCAATAGAAAGCCTATCTAAAACTAGTACTGATTAGAAAATAGATGTATTAAGAAAAAAATAAGAATATTCTTGAGCTTGTTACTTAAACAAATATATTTCTTCTTTTCTATAACTATAACTTTGTAACAGATAAAATACTACCAATAGTACCTTATGTTTGTTTTTCTGATATGGGACATCAGCATGTAGCTAACCAGGAACATCACATACATGGTCCAGGATAGCATCCTACTTCATCTTTCCAAGTGATGGGATTAAAGGTATGTGTATCTAGCTGGGTGGTGGTGGCACATGCCTTTAATCCCAGCATTCATGAGGTAGAGGCAGATGGATCTCTGCAAGTTCCAGGATAGCCTGGTCTACAGAGTAAGTTACAGGACAGTCAGAGCTACAGAGAGAAACTCTGTCTGGAAAAATAAAAACCAAACCAAAAGGTATGTGTTTTTACATCAGGATCTCTACCATTTAAAAAAAAAAAAACAATCAAAAAAGAAAACTAAGCCAAACTAATTAAGTTTCCACTTAGGAGTTCTCTCTGAGGAGCTTACCTGAGTAGGAAGAAAAAGCGACTGAGGAGAGTGGTTGAGGCCTCCCAAGTGCCCAGATGGAACTGATGAGTTTGCACTACAGTGACTCACAGCTGGCTGTGGTTTCACAATGGCTGTCAACTTCTGATTTCCAGTTTCACACCGACTCCCGTGAGAAAGGTTCACCAAGGCACTTGTTGGCAGTCGGTATCCCCTACTAGGTGAGCACCTACAATTAAGAAGTTATTTCAGTGGCAGGTCTGGTTGTGCATGCCTATAAAGTGGGCAGTTGGGAGGAAGTAGTAGGAGGATCTGGAATTCAATGCAGTCCTCAGACACACTGGCAGTTCTAGGCCACATTGTGCTACAGAACACAACCTTGCCTCAAAAAATGTGGGAAAAACAAAACAAAACAAAACTGGAAATCGATTCAGAGTTAGATTCCTCAACTTAAGAAAAGGGAGAAAGTCTTTTGTCAACTTTTCAACTCTAATCGCTTTTCCTCTTTCAAAAATACCATCTTCTTGTATTGTGGATACTGAAAAAGGAGAGTTCTTTTATGAGTTCCAGTTTGCTACAAAACATTTATTTTCATGAGAGTTATATTATAAAAGTGAATGTGCATGCAAGTATTCTTTCACACAGCTCTCTATCAGATGCCTTTAACTAGGAATAAGATAAAAGGATGTCAAGAAGACAAACAAACAGACAAAAAAAAAAAAAAAGCCAGGCCTGGTAATGCATGCCTATAATCACAGTATTGGAGAGGCTGAGGCAGGAATATCAGATGTTCAAAGGCAGCCTTGGCTATGTTTCAAATCTGAAACTAGTCTCTCTAGATGAAACTCTCTGTCAAAGAAATTAAAACAATGAAAAAGGAAACAAAACCCAAAATGCACAACATACTGGTGCATTTTGACAGCGTGGTTGCACATCCCTGAACTTGTCTGTCTGTCATCCCTGGACTTGGAATGTAGAGGAAGGAAGACCTTAGGTTTGAGGCCAGCTTTGACCAAGACCTTGTCTCAAAAAACAAACAAACAAACAAACAAAAACCAAAACACATACACATACAAAAAGAAAAAAGTCATGTAGTATATATGTTAAATATATACCGCAGTTATTGTGCAAAGGTGAGTTATTATAACTAAACAATTGAATAAACTATCAAAATTCAGTTGCTGCATTTAAGAGTACAAACTGGAAGGTCTTAGAGGAACAAGCATATTCAAGTTTCAAAATAATAGAATTTTAATATTATTATTGAGTGCACATGGGCAAGAGGTCAGAGGACAACTTTGTGCAATCAGCTACTTCTGTCCTTAGACCTTTACTTGTGTCTGGCTGCCAGGCTTGTGCAGCAACAATCACCTACAACTGTTCTATCAGCTCGCTGGCTTAATGATGGCATGCTGTAGGAACCACTCAGTACAGACTAAGATTTTATGTCAGGAGGCTAAACAAGAGTAATTAAAAATTATAATTACCTATTAATCAGATGCAAAGGAAATTAAGTTCGTGTCAGCTTTGTAGTATTTTTTTAGCTTTGTAGTTAAATTAGAAAGAAAAGCTGAAAAATGATTCTATTTCTTTCTCCTCATCTTCTAGTAATCTTCATTACAAATGAAGATATTACAAAGTATAAGTGAAAGAGCTCATCCTTGCTAGTATTTCCTCTAACTTTAAACTTTGTACTAGAGTTCCCTCAAAATGATATCATACTTCATATGTTTTAAAATGAAAGCAATTCAACTCTACTGTTTTAAATCTGATAACTTCCAGTTGGTGCTTTGATCCTTCGGAGTCAAGTTTCCTGTCTCTATCACTACACTGCTACTCGGTCCTCAAGCTGCCATGACCTTTGACGAACCTGCCACTCCAGTACATGAGATGATAAAGACTTACATGTCTTTGAACTCAGCCAGTTCTATTCCTGAAGTCGTTTAACCAGAAAATGTTCTTTGTTGCATGTTCTATCCTGTGTTCCTATTTCTCACTCTATTCTTTCCCCTCTGCCCAGTCAACCACTGTTCATGCACTTGTCACATTAAATTAAATAGTTACCATTATCAGTTTCTGAATCTCCTTGGCTTAAGTGAAAAATCAAGAGAGTAGACAGGTACTCACTGTTTTAACACTATAACAACTATGATGTCAAACTGGGCACACACATCTATAAGGAACACAAAATCAGAGAGAGGCTGCATTCACGGAGGACAATTATTATTTGGAAATACAAACCTTATTGTTAAGCCTCCAGGAAATTCCTCATCAAATAGTACTTCAAATAGTACCTCAGCTTCTCGACTAGCTGTTAAAGATGAAGACAGGAGTCAGACGGAAACCATACAATGAGAAACCAGCATACGTTTTTAAGAATGCTCAGAAGCATTGGTTTTATTTTACAAGTTTATAAAAATTGTTTAAATATGAAGAAAGACATAACAGCACACTGACCATCGTCCAAGGCAAGAAACAACACAAATGCCTTACAAGACCATCATGTCCTTATCCTTCAAAGGCAACTATAACCTTTACCTTGGCAATCTGGTTTCCTATATCCTCCCTTACATTTTTACTAGCTATGGACATATCTGAAATAATGCATACAGTGTTTTACAAGTTCTAAGCATTATCCATGTCTATCACTGTCTATAACTAGCTACCTACCATCGGGGATATACTCTTGTAACACACTTGTGCTTGTTTCAAAATGATGAGACTCAGTCCTGTTTCCTGAATAAATCTCAGTATTTCTCATATTCTATCCATGAATATACCATCATTTATCTCTTTCCTCTGCTATGAACACCTAGTTTATGATTTTAACAATTATAAAAATGCTATTATGAATATTATGTAAATGTCTCTTCTATGTAGGCTAGCTAATCCTTCCATAGAAGTGAAATTGCCAGGTGTTAAGGAATGCACTAAAAAATTTTGTTTTGTTTTGTTTTTTTTTGAGATAGGGTTTGTGTAGCCTTGGTTGTCCTGGAACTTGCTCTGTAGATCAGGCTGGCCTTGAACTCATAAGAGATCTGCTTGTCTGTGCCTCCCGAGTGCTGGGGTTAAAGGCATGTGCCACCACTTCCCAGGCTCATTTAAAAAAATTTAATATAAAATTGACATGATAAATTATACATATTTAAATTGTATAATTTAGTAGATTTTACCATATGCAATTAGCCAAAAGACCATAATAAATAAGATCGTTATTCCCAAAGTCTCCTGTATCATTTTGCAATGCATATACCCTTACTAACCAGGAAACTATTAAAATATTGTCATTATAGATTACTGCACATATCTAAAATTTAAAGTGAATAAGATTATACAGCTCATATTCTTTTTTGTCCAGCTTCTATCAGCACAATTATTTTGAGAGTCATCCATTTTGAATATATCATTTTTTTCTTTTTATACTGTTGAGAAGCATTTTATCGCATATTATCCAACAATGTATCTATTCATTTACTGGCAAGCATTTGGATTTTTCTAATTTTTCGTTATCACGTAAGGCGTGGTGTACATTCACATCTTATTTTGTCCTGGGTCTGTATTAGGAATGGGTGACTCAACCTTGCTGGTGTATGCTCACATTTTAAGGATTTAGGGGCTGGTGAGATGGCAATCCTCAGTACCAAATGGTAGAGAGAATGATTCCTATAAACAGTCCTCTGGTCTCCACATGCACACTGTGGCACCCAAGTGAGCACACACACACACACACACACACCCACTCCATGTATACACTCATGGACTGACACACACAGAATAAAGAAAACCTAAAAAGAAGTTATTAGAAAACCCATAATCTTAGCACTTGGGAGGTTGAGGCAGAAGGGTTTTGAATTTGAGGTCAGCCTGTGCTACATATTAAGTTCCAGGAAAGTCTTGGCTACATAGCAAGGGCATGCCACACATAAACTTAACAGACGAAGCTAGACATGTTAGTGCACAAACTAATCTCAATACTCGGGTTGCAAATAGAGAAAGAATTAGGTTAGCCTGGGCTATGAAGAAATTATGTCAAAAAAATAAAAATACCTCTCTTGAAAAAAAAATTTTTTTTTTTTTTTAAAAAGAACCCACCAAAGCTACTTCCAAAGTGGCCGTATCATTTTTTAATTCTTACTGACAATGTAGGAGTTCTAGTCATTCCATGACACTGTTGGCACCTGGACACTTCTTTACTTTCTTTCCTTTTATCCTTTCTTTCTCTTCTGAGGTAAAGCCTGATGTAGCTCAGGCTGTCTCTGACTCAGTATGTGAGCCAGGGATGAGTTTGAAGTTGTGCTCCTACCCATGTTGCCTGTGGCACTATACGCGTAACCAGAGCTCCACTGTATACTGGCAAACAATCTACCTACTAAGCTGCGCCCACAACCCTCCCATTCATTTAAGTCTAGCTGGTGTTTGGCAGTATCTTATTTTTTCCTGTACATATCTCCTGTGGTGAAATATCTGCTTGACTATTGTGCTTATTTAAAAAGAACAGTTGAGGGATGACAAGCCTGATGACCCTAGTGGTATCCCTGGAACCCAGATGATAAAAGGCAAGAACTGTCTCCCACAAGTTGTCTTCTGACCTCCACATGCACCCATATATAATACACATGGGGAACAAGCCAGTAAGCTAATCCATGGCTTCTGCACCCAGGTTCCTGTCTTGCCTCCCTTAGTGGATCACACCTAGTATAGGTGAGCCAAATAAACCCCTTCCTTCCTCTCCATGTTGCTTTTTGTTATGGTGTTTCATCACAGGAAGAAAAATCCTTACCACTCAGGCTTTTATGAATTCATTGGGTCTTTATGCTTATGTAGCAAGCACTTACAGACTATCTTCCTAGCCCCATTTTAAAAATTTTTCAGACAGAGTCTCTTTCTGTAGTCTCTACTGGCTTAGAATTCTCTATGTATCCAAGGTTAGCCTTGCTCCTCCTGCTTTAGCTTCCTCAGAGTTGTGAGTACAAGTGTAGACCACTAGGACTGGCTATAGTCTAGTTGTACTCATAAAAGCCAAATTAATAATTACCTAAACTCTTTTCACTGTAAATAACATTGTGTTTATTCTGAGAGATTTCTGGATTACAAGGCTTATTCAAACCTATAGATTACAATGCAAATTAAGGTAAAACTATGAATAAGATTAGACAAAAGTTTAAGACGTGATGAAATTTTTCTTTCAGTTTCATAAAAAATATAAGTAGAGCCTCTAAGACCCTGCGTAACTTTAGTGTGATATATATAAACTATCAGGTCATCAACAGCTCTTTACAGCCTCTCCTCCTCTCAACCACTTCTGAGACGATTATGTGAGACAGGAAAACTTTCTCTGGAAAGTACAATAAAAAAAGTAAAAACAGCTAAAACATGAAAGGATTCAGCCTTTTCACTGACTTATTTTCTGCTTAGATGCACATAACACACAAATCTATGTTCTCCTTCACAACATAAACACAGCTGAAGACATTCAGTACTGAAGTCTTACCCCCTTTAATTCCAATGACGGTGCCTCGAAGGCCGACTGGTACCGAGAAGTTCTCTCTTACATTTACAACACGATCAAAGAGACGGAACTCAGCATCTCGATCAGGAATGACTCCATGTTGCTGCTCTAAAGGCTGAACAGAAGAGAGCTGTGTATTCTAAGGGACATTTTGATGTCTGTGACTTCTCTGTTTGTTTTCACAGCATGGTCTTACTATGTAGCCCTGAGAGTTGCAAACTTACTCCATAGCCTCAGTTACCCTCCACCTCACTGTCTTCTGTCTCCTGAGGGTTGGGATTGCAGGCATTCCACCATGCAAAGTACAAACCGCTCTTAGAGTTCTTTCATGGACACTTACTCTGTACAGCAAATGGGGCTTCACTGTCACCCGGACTTTCTTGTTGTTCTTCCTTTGCTGAGGAAGAGAATTCAGACAGAAAATCATAAAGCCATCACCACTTCCAACATCTATGAATTTTATAAAGCCAAACAAAGATTTTATTATTAAGGATACCTAAAGGTTTGCATCTGCAGGAATAAAATACACATTGGTAAGATGAATATAGTCTAGTTTCTTAAATCTTGTTATTTTAAGGTGGTATTATTGTTATCATCATCATTATATGTGGGGTTGGCTTTCTCTTTTACATTTATATATGGAGATCAAACTCAGATCATTGGGGGGCAATTCTTTTTACCTGCTAAGCCATCGTGTTGGCCTTAATTTTTTTTTTCTTTGAAATATGGTCTAACTATGTAGATCTGGTTATCCTAGAACCTGCCATGCAAACCAGTCTGGCCTTAAATTCACAGATATCCACCTCCCAAATGCTGGGATTAAAGGTACATGCCATGATCCTAAATTCTTATTTATAAGTTTTAAAAGTAATATACTTAAAACATATTTATTTATTTCTAATTTATTATTTCTCTGTGTGTGTATGTGCGTGTGTGGGTGCGCACACTCATGTGCACAGGTGCCATGGCCTAGATACGGAGATATGAGGATGGCCTGAGGAGTTACTATTTTTTTTTTTTTTAATCATGTGGGTCCTGGGGATAAGAACTCAGGTCATTGGGCTTGACAGTAAACACTGCTACCCACTGAGCCCAGTAAACTGTTCTAAAGTATAAGAAAGAAAATTTCAAAGTTAGAAGTACACTGCAGATTAGTTATTTAAACTACTCAAGTGCAGTACTGAGAAGGGAGAAAATCAAATTAATTTACCCCCATGAGAAGTAGTAGGCAGGTCCCCCTGCCAAGTGTTAGTTGTTATTTTACGGTCCCTAAGGACCCTAAGGTGCTAGAAAAGGACTCTGCTTGGAGCTCTATCTCTAGCCCTGCTGTAGGTACATCTGATGTGTAACCACCTAACCCAAGAAACAAGATTACTAAGCATAACATAAGAAACTTACTTTTAATACAGAAAATTATATCTTGTTTTGAACTTTGTATACTTTTTTCTCTAAAAAGAACTGTATAGAATAGTCAACAGAAGTTTTTTGGAGACAAGGTTTCACTCTGTAACCGAGGTATCATCAAATTCATGATGATTTCCTGCAAGCCTGGTAAGTGCTGGGATTACAGGCACCATTACCATGCTATACTAACAAAGATTTGTATTAAAGAAAGAAAAAGTATGAAACATTTATGTATAAAAACATTATATGATGCAACAGACTGGAATTTATTCTGTCATTCATTTAAGAAGAAAATATAAACAAAACAAAACAATCCATCCCCCCTACTGCACACTCACACACGTACATTAAGAAGTAGGAGGAAGGAGGGCTGGATTCCTAGGATAAAATGATTGTCTTTTCTTTCTAGCTCGGTAAATAGATTTCCATGCTCAAGGTCATAAGACAGACTAACCCAGCTAACAAAGCTATCACTTTCAGTCTTTTAGGAAAGAGGGACGAGAGTAGAAAGATAAAAAACTTGTGCTAAAAGAGTAAGTTAGACAGTGGGGAGGAGTCATCAGTGAGCCTTTCAGTGAGTGACAGGTTTCTGACCAGAACTACATTTGTGGTCACACCTCACCATGAAGGAGGTTGGGAAGCACGGCTTGAGAAATGGGGAAATGTGCACAGGTAAAAACCTGGACTCTGTTCCAAAACAACTAACAATAGGTTGATTTGGAATGTAACTTGTGAGGTCCCCATCTGTGCCTTTGCTGCTCCGGGTCACACACATTCCCATTTTCACGTACAATACATTTTAGTTCTCACAACTGCATGCTCTCCTTTACACACTCTGGAACCGAGATCTGACAACTACTGCTCCTGTACTCAAGTTCACAGGGGTCTTCTGAAGGCCTAGTTGTCTAGAATTGTGACAAATTTTAGTTAAAACCAACAGATTGCGATGGGCGGTGGTGGCATATGCCTTTAATTCTAGCACTTGAGAGACAGAGGCAGGTGGATCTTTGAATTTGAGGTCAGTCTGGTTTATAGACCTAGTTCCACAACAACCAGGGCTATAGAGAAACCCTGCCTTGCTGGGTGGTGGTGGCATATGCCTTTAATCCCAGCAGTTGGGAGGCAGAGGCAGGTGGATTTCTGAGTTCGAGAGTTCGAGGCTAGCCTGGTCTACAGAGTGAGTTCCAGGACAGCCAGGGCTACACAGAGAAACCCTGTCTCGAAAAACCAAAAAAAAAAAAAAAAAAGAAACTCTGTCTTAACAGCCACTCCCCTCAAAACTAACTTAGTTCATACTGATAGACAAGAAAAAAATTACTAATATGACAATATGTTTTATATATAAGTATATGTAATTTTGCTTTTAAAAATTTAAAATTAATACTTTTTAAAATTTAGAAATAAATTAATAAAAACTTTCATAAGAACTGGAGAAAAAGAAAAAAAAGAAATAATAAAGGTTCCAGACCAAGAATAGTTATACCTAACCAAGTGTTGCTTGGCTTGGCTTTGCACTTTAGAATGTAGTTTCTTACATTATCCACTAGGGACCTATCAGAACTGCAGATGTAGTACAACTTAGCCTCTAACCTGCTCAGAGCTCAGGAAACTAGGAACTGCTCAGAGGTTCTGCATAGGCCATCTTCTGCATATCAAACTGAACAGACCTAGCTTCTTCCTTTTCTTTTCAACAGGGTCTTGTTATGTAGCCATAGCTGACTTGGAACTTGCTAAGGATGGGCTGGGCTTACATTTACGGCAGTCCTCCTGTGGCCACATCCAAGTGCTAGGACTACAGGTATGCACCACGGTATTTGGCTGTTCAGAATCGATACTTACCAAGATTCCACGATGATTTACTTGTACCTTAAAGTTTAAGAAGCATTGCTCTTGGGTGGAACATGGATGTTTAAAAATGTTCTTCCAGTATGAGAATGACTGTCTAATAAGAAATTCACTTTTTTCTTTTGCAGTGTGAGGGATCAAATCCAAATCCTAGACATGTAGATAAGTACTCTACCACTGAGGCATACCCTACTTTAAAAGCTACTGATGTATTAAGTTAATGATGGCCCTATATTATAAAGAAGTTTATATATTATAAAGAAGTTTTCAGAACATTTTATTTATTGTCTTCTTTCCTAATTACTGTAATAACACATTAAAACTCTTAATTATACTCCTTTTACACATAAATATAAGCTTTAAAATCTTGTCTAATTTATATGTTGTAATAAAAATAATAAACTACAATTTTGTATATGTATTTTTTGTTTGCAAAATAAATAAAAAATGAGTAAAATATTTTGTGCTGTGTGTATATGAAGGTGTGTGTCCACACGCACAGGGGAGGCCAGAGGAGGGTATCAGAAGTCCTACTCTGTCATGCTTCCTTTTGTCTGGACAGAGCCTCTTCCATGAGTCTGAAGCTTGCTGTTACCTTTCCAACAACCGCCACCTCCCCTGTCCACCTGCCCCATGCATGACAGCCTCCAAGTTCTGGGATCACAGATGGGAGCCACAATAGAATCTTTTATGTTCAAATGAGCCCATTGGCCTGAATGTTTTTTTAAATATTTATTTTTATTTTATGTGTATATAGATGTTCCCTGCAGGTATGCAAGCAACCACATGTATGCAGTATGTACAGAAGCCAGAAAAGGGCCTTGGGTCATCTGGAACTGGAGTTATAAATGGTTTTGAGCCATCATGTAGGAGCTAGGAACTGAACCCAGGTCCTCTCTGTAAGCACCATGAGCTCTTAGCCACGAAACAATCTCTCTAGTTTGAATAATTAAACTCTTAGGGCTAAGGGTGTTATCTCAGTGGTAACAGCCTTGCCTAAGTCATAGTACTGAAGACAAAACAAAGCTTGACCCAAACAAGTCTCTTGACTGGGAGTCTATAATTTTTCTTTCTGGTTTACATGGTGATCATCACAGTTTCTGAGTATGTGCCATGGGAGCCAAACACTACACTTCTATTAATAACAGATACATACCACGAGCTATAACTATCTTTCTTTCTTCTTTCCTTCCTTTCTTTCTAGCAGCTATGTTTATAAGCAGATCTTTCTTTCCTTCCTCTGTTTCTTCCTTCCTTCTTCCCTCCCTCCCTCCTCCTCTCTCTTTCTTTCGAACACTACCACCACCATTAATAGCAGCTGTGTACTGTGAACAGATCTATTTTCCTTCCTTAAAAAGAAAAAAGAAAAGACATGGTCATATGTAGCTTAGGCTATCTCTGACCCATTATATAGAATAACATTTTTTTTCTCTTTAAGACAAGGTTTCTTCTTATAGGCCTGCCTGTTCTGGAACTTACTCTGTAGACCAGGATGGCCTTGATCTCAAGAAATCTACCTGTCTCTGCCTTCCGAGTGCTGGGACTAAAGGCATGCACCATAATGCCCGGCATATACAGGATAATTTTCGCATTCAATTCTGCTGTCTTTTCTTCTGGAGTGCTGGGATTATAGGTGTGCACCACCATTCTTGGCTTTATGTGGAGCTAGGATAAAATCAGGGTTTTGTATATTCTAGGAAAGTACTCTATAGACTGAGCCACATTCCCAGTCCTAAAAAGAACATGTTTTATCCCAAGTGATCTTACTGATGGTCATAACTTGTGAGGTAGGCAGCATTTTATTACTGATTTACCAATGATGAAATGGATGCATGAAAAAATTAAAGTACTGAAAAAGAGTCTTCAGTTCAATGTGGTAGGAATGGCTCTTGAGCACAGCTCTTAACTGATTTTTCTAATAACTCAAAAAAGAAAGTGTGTTATTATGGCATCATTAATAAAAAGCAAATTAATAGGAATTAAAGTTTTAAAAAATACCAATATAACCAACGTACTTCTATTTTACCATTTAGTTAAAATGGATAAAATAGGTTGAGTCAACTACAGAAGTCTGTTGCTTTGAGATAGCAGAATAGAGAGATAAGAGATTAGTGTGTGCACGCCTGTGTGCAACTGCACTCGAGTGTGTATAGGTGTGTGCCTGTGTACCATGGAATAAATCTGGAGGCCACAGGACGACCTTTGGGAAGTTGGTTCTCTCCCCACCATGTGGATTCAGTGGGTGAACTCAGGTCATCAGGTACGTGGCGGCCTCCTGAGTCATCTCACCCACCAGCTCTGAACTGTGTCTTTAAAGAATGTAATTATGGCTGGGCGGTGGTGGCGCATGCCTTTAATCCCAGCACTTGGGAGGCAGAGGCAGGCGGATTTCTGAGTTCAAGAGTTCGAGGCTAGCCTGGTCTACAGAGTGAGTTCCAGGACAGCCAGGGCTACACAGAGAAACCCTGTCTCGAAAAAACAAAAACAAAACAAAACAAAACAAAAAACAAACAAACAAACAAACAAAAAAAGAATGTAATTACAACAGCAAGGAAGAGGGAATCGTCACTATTATTCAATGCACAAACTTTCTATTGCAACTAGATTTATGAGATTAGAACTATTACAAAGAAACAAATTTTAAATTTTATAGTTTTTGTATACTGAAGTATATTTATACACATTCATTTAAATTTCCTAACAGTCGCTAAAAATGCTACAAGATTATTAATCAGAATCATTAAGTACATACATTAGTTGGCTGAAACATAAAAAAACCAATAACATGCTGTTCATTTTAACTTCAGCTTGCGTCAGGAATCATGGTTCCTCAAAGTTAGTACCTTGCATTTCTCAACTTCTTCCTCAATTTTTTCAACAATGGCTGCATCCAGAATGTGTAAATCACAAGAAGACCGAGACAGAGTACTGACAGGATGTCCTTTCAGCCAAGTAATAATTTCTTGAACTTTCTCAGCCCTACAATAAAAACAGTAGTAATTTTTTCACGTTGATTAAAAATTTCTGAAGGTTTATCTTAAGGATCTAATAAAAAGAACTTTCTAGGAACTGTGAATTATCAGATTTAAGTAATTAAACCAAACATGAAATAATATAAAGTGAAAGGTACCTTTAGCTGAACTTTCAAACAGAAAGCCTAGAGTTGAACTACAGGGCAATATAAATACCACAAGCTTTGCTTACCCATTCTCATTTTCTCCAGGCCAGATGTCATCCTCATAGAACACGTCCTCTTGGCTGTTTTTTGCTATATAACTAAACAGTTCTGGTGCTCTAGTCAACAAAGAAATAAAATACTGCTTTAAAATATGCAATTAACCTCACATAAACTTCCTGTTAATGGATTTTGTATTCTAATGGGGACATGTGAAATATACTGAGGATTTTATAGTACTATTAAGGAATATTATTAATAAGGAATGAGACTGAAAGGTTGCTTAGCCAGAATATTCCTGTAACTCTAAGAAAATTTCCATTGGCTGAGAAAGAAACAGTTCAATTATTTTAAAAAAAATCCAATTATGACTTAGTTTTCTTTGACTAAAATGTGAGGAATTAGATGCATGGAAATAGTATTTGTAGGCTTTTTTTTTCTCCTTTTTTGGAGATAGGGCTTCTTATGTAACCCAGGCTAATCTCAAGTTTATAATCCTCCTGCTCCAGCTTCCTCACTGCTAGGATAACAACCACACTAGCTTTCAAAGTTAACTCTCAATTTTTGTAACAAAGCTGGAACATTTCATATGCAAATTAAGTTTATAAATTTCTTCTGACGTTCTTCAAAATTACATTTATTTTAGAAACATAAGATTCTAGAGTACATCTAAGCAGATTAAACACATCTTTGTCCTTTCCCAGTCCACCAAAAATAACAATAAAGTAGAAAACTGGTCATAGACCAAAAAAGAGAAATAAAGAAAAATGGGGTATGGAATGTCACAGGATTTAGGAATAAATGTTTTGACATTAGACACTGGAGAAATGAGATTTAGCTGAACTGATAGACAGGAAGAAGCAGACTAAGCTTAGGGCCAGTCACTAGACCAGAGAGTAGTCACTAGTCACAAAAAGGTCACGACACCTCTGCTGAGTGTTTCATGAGCTGCACTGAAAGCAAGTCTCTTCCTCCCAGCTCAGGACCTCACTTGTAAATGGCGCTTTGTCATGGAGCAGGACAGACTTGCACAATAGAAAAAACAGGTAATCAAAAGAGGCTCTTCTTTTGAATCTGCAAACTCTCAGGAATTATGGACTTTAGGAATATTTAATAGCATTTACCTTGAAAATGTATATAGCATGCAGTTGAAATAGGTGTTTTACTTGCCTATCACTCCTGAAAAATAGCTGCAGTTATATTTTAGACAGGTTAGCAAAGAAATACTCTAGCTGTGGTTATAGCAGAGACAGAGAGCTGAGGGGGTAGGGATGGTACAAGAAGGAAAGGCTAAGTGCTGAGCATGTGTGGAGTTCATGCATGGGTAGCAACTATACAGCATGCAGGGCATAGCATCTCTAGGAAGCAGACTCTGAGAAGGACAGACATGCACAAGTGTAGTGGGGAGACCCGTGAAATCAATACTTGTGGGGAGAGAAAAGAAAACAAGCACAACTTGGAAACAGGAAGATGTGGAGCTGAGAGTTGTTCTCAGTGAATTTCATGGCCAGTCCCACAAAGATCTCAAACTGGGGGAGCCCTTCATATTTGTCCTGGAACAGGGCAAGCAGGTTTTGCCTTTGTATCTCCTACACCAGGCACTGTGTTGTGAAAAGAGAACATGACTCTAGGTAAGGCAGTTTTCTTTATCCACACAATTCCAGAAGAATGTTTGCAGAGAGGGCTGCTAGCAGCATTACCACTCCCAGGGGAAAAGGTCCTTCAGTCTAAGAAAGATCTGGGGTGAGTGGGTAGTCACAGGGCAAAAAACCCCATTTTATTCAATTAATTTCCACAATACTAGCAGTCAGTGTAGTGCCTTACATCCATCACGCAAGAAAAAAGCTAGAAGATCCCTCTCAAGGAAAAGCTAGCCAGCTAGAGAGAAGACATACACACAGCGTGATATTAGAATAAGATACATTTTTAGAAATAATAATGTTCCATGTGATAAACCCCATTCAAGTGCACTAAACTCCCAACAGGCTTTTTGGCACATCCTTGTTAAATAGCAAGAACTAGAAGTGGAGAAAACAAACAAACAAACAAACAAACAAACATCCCGTTAACACACAAGGTTAAATAAATCAAATAGAGGAGAAAAAAATAATTTGGAGAAAATTAGAAATAAAAAAAAAAAAGACAGCTCATTGCCTGTAATTCCAGCTCCAGGGGATCTAATGTCTTCTGGCTTCCTCAGGCACCCACAAACATGAGGGGTGTGTCTCATATGTGTGTGAGTGTACTGATATTAATATATGACAATAATACCACTCAGGAGGCCGAGGCAGGAAGATTACAAATTTCAGGCCAGTCTGTACTTTTTTAAAATTTGAGGCCAGCATCAGGGGAGGGGTGCTATACCTAGAGATCTTGTCCTTAAAAACAAAAAACCAAAACCAACCAACCAACCATCAAAGACCAAGATAAAACTGAAAATGTCTCTTAGAGTAGGGCCATATGAAAAAGAATGAGAAAAAGAAGAGACAAGAAGATCAATTTAAGCCGGGCTGTGGTGGCGCACACCTTTAATCCCAGCACTTGGGAGGCAGAGGCAGGCGGATTTCTGAGTTCGAGGCCAGCCTGGTCTACAGAGTGAGTTCCAGGACAGCCAGGGCTACACAGAGAAACCCTGTCTCGAAAAACCAAAAAAAAAAAAAAGAAGATCAATTTATCCAGGAGTCCCACAAAGAGCAGAAAGAAGAAAATGTTGAGTTTTGTCAATTATTAAAGAAATATTGTAAGACAGTCTCCCAGAATTAAAGAGTTATCAGTTCCAGGGGCTAAACAATAGAAGAGATAGAGAAAATATCTGTACCAAAGCACATATCATCAGTCAATAGAATTAATAGACAGGGTCTAGAATATGGATATAGGGCCCAAAGGGATGGAGAGATGATTAGAGGCTATGAACACTGGCTGTTTTTGTAGAAGACGAGGGTTCAGTTTCCAGCACCCAAATGGTGATTCACTGCCATCTGTAACTAGTTCCAGGGGCAAAGATACCATCTTCTGACCCTCCATGGACATGAGGCACGTAAGTAGTACACAGGCATACACACAAAGTACTCATACACATAAAATAACCTAAAGCAAATAGATAACAATGCAAAGAATCAAAGGAGAACACACAAGACTCATCAGTGCCAATGAAGGAGACGAGAAAACAATGGAGCAGTGCTCTCAAAATCCTGAGTAAAATAATCTCCAATCTAGGACATGCAACCTACCTAGACAGCCCAATAAAGTGTGAGAGAAAGAAAAAAAGTACTTCTAGACACAAAAGTACTGGAAGTAAATGTACAATTAATATAAAGATTAAACAACGAGAGCCAGAAAATAAAGAATTTGTATAGGGACACAATGACAGTGTCTCTGGATAGGTAGCTGGGTGACAAGCTCAGTCAGTCTCAGCCGAAGCAGAGGCTTTAGGACAGAGATAGAAAAAACTGATCCCCTCATCTGTATGGCAGGGTTTATGGCTCAGCTAATGTGTATGTGTACAGATAATGATCAAATGAAAAAAACAGGACTGAAAATGAAAATGTGAGTGAGGAAGAAATACTGCAAATATTTATCATAAGCATGTAAAGCTTATAGATTTAACCAAAACTTGTAATAAAAACAGTAGTGGGGGGAAATATATTCATGTCTATAGGGAACTGAGAGAAAGAAGAGCTGGAAGTTCATAGAGAACCTTTCACAGTTGGAAATCAATGGCTATGACAACTACAAAAGTAAAAAATTTATTTTTTGCAGCACCACAGACCAAACCCAGAGCCTTGAACATGCTAAGTAGGTGTCCTTCAATCTCAAGGCCAAGAAAAAGAAGTCTGATGTGGCCTTTTAAGGAAATATGGAAATCAGTAGAGAAAGAAGCTAAATTTTCATATGGCAATATATAACTGAATCTTCCCATCACCCTTTAAAAAATAAAGAATATTGAGGCAGGGGGATGGCTTAGTGTATAAAGGAATTTGCCTCTTGATAATGTAATCTTGACTGCCTGAGTTAAATTCTTGGAACCCAGATAATGGTCCAAAGAACTCTCTCGACAAGGTTGTCTTCTGACTTTGCCACCCACATGGTGGAACAGACCTCTCCCTCAGTATGTGCATGTGCAGTCTCTTGTCCATGCACACACATACACTAATACAAATTTAAACTAATATTATTTTGAAATGGGGTTCTAATACAGACAACTATTAGAGGGCTCTAATCCAGTATGACTTGTACCACTGTAAAGGAGAAATGTAGACAGGCTAATACATGCTTATATAAAGACAAGTGGGGAGAGAGATTGTCACCTTAAGATAGAGGATTGGAATGATCAATCTACAAGCCAAGTAATACATAAAGTTATAGGAAAGTAAGAGAGAGCTAGGGGACTACAATCTTGTTGACAGCTTGATTCTGGTTACTAGAATGGTGAGACAATTAAGCCACCTTGGTGAAAACAGCTAGCTGGAGGTACTTTATTACGAGAGCCCCGTGAAACCAATATAGGGATTCTCAATGACAAGGAAGATAGAAACCTATGGTAGAAAGATTATTAAGTTGTAATCAGAGGCGAATGTATTAACTATGTATCTAGGTATACACCTAGGTAACAGTTAACATTTGGTAATAAACATGGTAATACATTTCCTAATTATTATTAATGCAATTTTTTTTTTTGAGACAGGGTCTGAGACATAGCCTAGGTTGTTCTTAAATGCACTACTTACAAGAATGGCCTCCAATTCCCAATCCTTCTACCTTTAGCTCCCTTGTGCTGGGGTTAGAAGTGTATGCCACCATGCCTAGCTGATGCTATACATTTTACTGAAAGACATGATCTCTCTTTCAAACAAGTATGAGGCAGGCAACTCAGCCTCAACTAAGCAGCGCATGCCGAGCTCCGAGACTAGGAGACGCTTGCTTGGCACTCACCTCTCTATGTACTCTGCAAGAAGCTGCTCTGCTGCTGACGAGTACATCCACTCACTCCCAACTTTCTTTGTATAGCCAGGGACTTCCTCATTTTTCTTGTTGAATTTGAGATTTAAACCCACATTTGCTTTATGGTCTCCATGAGGGCTAAGTTTAAATCACATATAAATATAAGTGTTTTTAAAATTTGTCCAAAAACGAAAAATTATGTTTTTTTTTTTTTTTTAACAGTGCTAGGGATTGAATCCAAAGACGTGCACATCCCAGACAAGCAGTACGCCACTTAGCTATACCACCAAACTCAACATTTGCTTTCAATTTTTAGAAAAGCTCAGTTCTAATTTTCTACATTTTAGTTTGCATGGTTACTTCTAATTAGCAGTAATCAAAAACTATAGGACAGGTTTTAAAATCCAAGATAAGAAACCATATAAATCAATTATGTTATTAGAAAAAAAGGAAAATAACAAAATTCACAGAAATATATTACTGAGGCTCACACACACCCTCTGATACCTTTTTTCAAGGTTAGCTGCTAAAAATACAAACTGTCTTTGAAAGCATCTAAAAAATATGCCGTTCATGTAAAGAACCACTGCTGGAGGAATTTACAGGCAACTTAGTCCACAGTCATTAATTGGAAAAAAATCACTACTGAGATAGTAAGCATTTAATCTCTATCATTTAATTTTTCTTCCACTTTAAGCAAATATCCCTAACACAAACTTACTTTCTCCTAGATCCTCTTCCAATAAAAATACTTCCTGTAAACCTTGAAACAAGGTATCCACTCACTCCAAGGCGACCGGCCAACACATATCCTGGGTTGTACTTTATAGAGTATTTCTTTAAATATAAAAATAAAGAGGTCAATTATAGAAATACATGTCTGCATTAAGTACTACTTGGTTACCTTTGAGATCTGTAGATAGTTAAGACACCACTGCCCCCGACCCCCACCCCTGAAGGATCTGAAAGCCTTCCTCTTTCTCTTTAAAACAAAGACTTCCCAAGGATGAACAAAGGAGTAGGAAACAATTTGTAAATCTGTCTCAATAAATAAATGCTGTAAGTACTAAACACAAAATTCTTCACATAACCTTTTTTAAAATTAATTTTCATATTTTAAGCAGGGCTAGCTAGCAAATACCTGGAATAAAAAATAAGACTTTAAAAAATGACTATACATACTGAAGTCAAACATAAATGTATCATCAAAACAGTTGTGAGTGAGGAAAGTAAAAGTATCCTTCATATATGAATATAAATAATCTTTTCCACTAATATTTACTATTATGTGAAAGTCACAGTCAAATAAACGGAAACTTATCTTGTGTAGTTATGAGTGTAAAATTAAGAAAAAGAAGTGAGAAACTGTTATCAGAATATATTGTAAGAAAAAAAATCTACTTTCAATTAAAAAAGTAAAATATTTCAAGTGGCAGAACAAACCAAACAAGCAACCAAACAAACCAGCCAACCAAACAAAAAAGTATCAGATGGGATAATTTTTAACCAGGAAGCCAACAATTTACAAACCCAATACCAACTAGCAATAACAATCATATGCAATCCTTATATGATACATATGGATAGATACTAATTTTTATTTATTTTTAAATACCTTGTAAGTTATATGAATAGCATATATATATATATATATATATATATTTGAAACTGTTTCATGTAGCTCAGGTTGACCTTAAACTTGCTATGTGCTTGAGGATAATCTTAAATCTCTGATCCTCCTTGCCTCCATCTCTAAGTTCTGGGATTATAGGCTTGGGCCACTAAACTGGTTCATACAGTGCTGGAGCCTCATGTACGCTAAGCAAGAACTCTACCAAATGAGCTACACTCCCAGCTCCAACAGTTTATAGTCTTAATTTATGATCGTAGCTGAATGGAGGAATATTTTAACAACATAACATCGATGTCTTAGGATTGGTAAGGGACTAAACAAGATGCCATTATTTTACTGATTATATGTATCTATAGTGATGCTTAATGGGTAATTGCTTTTTGTGGGCTAGAATACTAAATTACTATTAAAATATATAAGTATGTCAGTAGCCAAATGCAGTGGTACATGCTCATAACCCTAATACTTGGATCGAGATGAGGGAAGTAGGATCAGGAATTCGAAATTATCCTTGGCTACTCAAGTGATGTAGGCCAGCCTGGATTACTTAAAATACTATCTCAATAGTTACAGAGACACACAGAACATGGTTGTTCAACAAGATATCATCAGATTTAGTAATGATACTGATCTAGATGAATGTGATGGTTTGTATATGCTTGGCCCAGGGAGTGACAACACTATTAGTTCTTGCTTACATACATGTTCATAAAGCAGCCTGGAGAAAACTGTATTCCAGGCAGGTAGGAGGAATCTTAAAGCTTATACTCACAGTGACACACTTACTCTAATAAGGCCACACCTCCTAAAAGTGCCACTCCCTGGGCCAAGCATATACAAACCATGACAGATATAATATAGAACAAGTATGCTTTGTAAAACAGATCCAAAAAATTACGGTGGCATTTCTTTTTTCTTTTTTTTGGTTTTTCGAGACAGGGTTTCTCTGTATAGTCCTGGCTGTCCTGGAACACACTCTGTAGACCAGGCTGGCCTTGAACTCAGAAATCTGCATGTAAGGTAGCATTTCTTAATTGTAAGAATTATCACTTTATTAAAAAGTACTTTGAAATGTGCAGAGGCACATTCAGTTATGATAATTGGCAAGGTTACTACCATTTAGTGTTCTGGGGCAAATGTCCTATTTACATGGCTGCCATAGGTACAGGTGTCCTGTCCCAAGCATTAATAGTACTCCATTTGAGAATTGTAAGCTGTGTTGCAATTAAAAGTTAATTAAAATAACCAATAATACTCTAGAAAACATAAAAAGCACAGCTAAAACACTGGATTAGAGAAAGCATGAAAGGAATACTTTGTGTGCTTTTATACAAGTGTATACACGGACCACAAGGTCTTCCACCTTCACTGACTTGTAGAACAAAGTCCCAGCTTATGCATCTAATGGGACACTGATGGCTTCTGGACACGTCTAAGTTCTTTCTATATTAGAGAGCTAATGGTAAGATTTTTTAGGGACACCTTTGTCTTCTATATCTAAAGTTCCCTCATGGGAATGCCAATGCTTAATGCCTTAAACCTGATCACCACAATACAACATAAACAATAATGTAATTTCTGCATTTTTTGTTAAAGATTTACATATATGTATATACTGTTTCATTGTTGGGGATTAAACTAGGGTACTTACACATGCTATGTTAGAGTGTTATGAATAGATCTATATGAATTTGGGGGAACAGATTTATACTTTTCCTTTACACTTTCAGTGTGTGTATGCTTATCAGTAGACACGCATATTAGCGTATGTGTGGAAAATAAGCTTGGTATCATTCCTTAGATGCCATTAACTTGAGTTTTTTCTTTTGTGAGTCAGGATCTCTCACTAAGCCTGGCATTCGTCAGTTACGCTCAGCTGGCTGACAAAGCTAGCTCCAGTGTCTCATCTTCCATTACTGGCATTAAGTTCAGTTTTCATCCAAGGGTACTGGGGATATGAACTAGGGTCCTCATGCTTCATTAAAAATATTTTACTGACTGAACTATCTCCTTACCCCATTATACTTATTCTTAAAATATTGAAATGAATTTTAAGGAGGCAAAAAAATATCCTAGCATTTAAAGAGTTTATTTTAAAGAAGACTAACTACTGTACTTACATGCTGATTCTGTATTAAAGCATCAAGGTTTGGTTCACATGGAATGCTGAAAACCACACGAATCCTACCTTCTGTAATCACATCACCTGAATCCTGAACCTGGGAGTGGGAGAAACCAGACTGTTTTAATCTGTTTTTACATTAATTTATCTTTCTCCTTATTTGAATTTTATTCTTCTAAAATAGAACACAAAAATAAAATTATACATGGAAATTTTCTTATAATTTATAACAGGAATAAAGACTATTGTAAGAATGAGTTATTTTATATTTGCTTTAATATATATTAATCACATATAAAAATTAACTTCCTTGTAGATAACATCAAATTACTCAAATGTTGCAGACGATATTTGCAAACATTAACCCTGATTCACTATTGCTAACACTCTAAAAAATGTGTCTTTAGTATTTGTATCCTGTGTGCATACTTACATGCATGGAATAACAACAACAACAACAACAACTACTACTACTACTACTACTATTTTGAAACAAGGTTTCAGTGTGCATTTTCAGCTTAGCTTTGAACTCATTTAGGCTGGTCTCAAACTTGGAAACCCCCTGCTTCAGCTTCCTGAGTGCTAGGCTTGTAAACATGTACTACAATCTCCAGGACCAATCAATGCTCTGAGGATATCTTAAAGACATCATTTCCTTTACCTGTATTTTAGAGTACATTCTTATTTTTTTTTAAAAAAAGAAGATTTATTTTATGTATATGAGTACACTGTAGCTATCGTCAGACACTCCAGAAGAAGGCATTGGATCCCATTACAGATGGTTGTGAGCCACCACGTGGTTGCTGAGAACTGAACTCAGGACCTCTGGAAGAGCAGTCAGTGCTCTTAACCTCTGAGCCATCTCTCCAGATCCTTTCCATATGTTTATGTTTGTGGTCAGGGGATCAAACCCATGCTAGGTAGGTGCTTCACCACTGACTAATATCCACAATAGAAGCTTTCTTGTTTTATCTTTTTATTATTACCATGCAATGATGAATTCTTGATTTGCTGCACTAACTTCTAATTTGTTAGTGTACTTCATTATCCTGCTACTTAAACTATGAGGATATGGCCAAAGGAGCCCTTTCACCTCCCTCCTGTGCTCACCGACATGACCCTTTCATTCTTTTTGCACTTCTTACTTCTTGGGATCAGATGTAGCAAGCTTATTTTATGTTATCTCTGCTCAAGACCTACAATCAGGTAGGTACTTTACTGGGAAGAATTGCAGTTTTTAGAGAAGTCTTATGATCTCAGAGGTCAAGATCTGGGTATTTTGTGTGTTCACTGCTTCCAGAGTGTCTTTGCTTCTTACACTTTTGAAAAGTACACGTCTAAACACACAATCATGTGCCTATAAGCATGCATGTTTCAGACTTCCTAACGTCCCTCCAATCTGTCCCTCACAGACTCTTCTTAGTTTCTCCTATTCCATATATGTATGTCCTTTTTTCAGTGGGAAGAGTTTCCACTCTTCTTAATAAAATATCAATCTTCTTATTAAAAATATCAATACATTTGAAAATGTATTAACCCTGTACATAAAACCTTCTTAAAATAATTTTATAATTGCTTCAAATATAAATCCAATAAACAGGTGTATTAAAAAACACCAGATTTTTGAATTCTTTTTCCCACCTCCTGATCACTGGCTCGTTACTATAGCTAAATGCTGTGTTTTTAAGTTACACGAGCAAATTCTTTCTTATGTTTCCGTTTTGGCATTGCATTTTATTTTGCACTTAAGATGCAAGAACTGTATTAACATGAAAGAAGAAAAAAGTTAATAAGAAAATTGAAACTAACTTCTCCAGTGCAGCCATAATAAGGAGTTCCAAGCATAAAGACCATACTTCTGGGAGGAAACAAATCATCCAATGTTTTGATATTGGAGAAACGAGAATCAAAAGCTCGGATATCCTATATAAAATGAAATAGAAGAGTAAATTATCACAGCTAATATTTCTAAAACCTGCATATGATCTTTCTTATGGGATTAAATCTGAAAAGTTAGCAAATGTCAAATATAAAGATTTTCTGTAAAATAATACCAAAATCTAAGACACAGTGACTTGTTACAGCATGCTTTCTTCTAGGCACTTCATACATTTATCTAGTTCATTTACTTCTTACATAACCATTGGGAGGTAGACATTCACTGTTAACCTCATTTGTGAACTGTCACAAAAGGGGATGAACATTGTCCAAGGTCACATAGCAAAGAAGCCACCTCAGACAGTCTGTGCTCTTAATTCCTACACTACAGATTATTAAGAGAGAAACACAAGTTGCAGGGTTAGCATATACAGCAGTATTTATCCAAGGGATGGGATTAGATTTCAAGTCCCTTATACACTGTGTATGTCTGAAACCACTGACAGTACCAACACCTACAAATTCTTTTTTACACACATCGGTCCATGACAGTTTCCTTTATACATTGGATAACAGTAAGAGATAACAGCAATAGAAGACTCTGAATGTGGCCCCTTCCTTTCAGAGTCTTGCACTCTCTTCACTTTTTCCCTTCATGTAATGATGTGATGATATAATGCCTCCATGATGAAATGTGGTGAATGACTAAGTTATGAAATGTGGGCATATGCTCCAAGCTTGAAGTACAGCAGCAACAGTGAAACTAGAACTTTCCCGCCACAACTTCATAGATGGGATATTCATTCTTACTATCTGTAATCTGACCATCCTCAGCATATGAGGAAAAGTTTCATCTTTTCATTGAAGGATCATATTTAATTGCCAGTACCAATACCCTTGTATTTTGGAGTCATTTAGAAAAATAGATGTTACTATCTCCCATTGTACCATGACAGCCTAGCTGGTACTGAGATACTACTCAGTAGTCAGCCCATACAGCAAGGATGCACTGGACAAAGATGAACTCCATCTGAGTGATAACGAACAATTCATTACAATATTCAGCATGCTGACTATTTAAAAATGTACGAATTGCTAAATTCTGGCATTTTCCAGGTAATAGTTTGACACTGGTCAAATGCAGGTAACTGAAACTGTGAAAAAGCAAACATTGAATAAAGACTCTCCACTGACTCCTTACAATATTGGAGATTATGCAGAGGTCAAACCTTTAATATTCATTAGTTTAATTCTGGCAAAAATAAAAATTTTTAAAGAAAGGATCCTGATATGTTGCCCATGATGGTCTCAAATACACAATCTTCTTGCTTCAATTTCCCAAGTATTAGGACTACAGATATTCATCATTACACCTGTCTAAGGCCAGTATTTTTGAAGGATAAAAAAAGTGTTGATACGTTAAGAATGAAGGGTGTACATGCTAGAAAACTTATTCTAGAAAATATGTTCTTAAAAACTACCACAACATTGTCCAAGCTTGGTGGCGCACACCAATAATCCTAGTACCCAGGAGAGAGAGAGGCAGGTGGATCTCTGTGAGTTCACGACTACTTGTTTTATATAGTAAGTTCCAGGTCAGCCAGTGCTACATAATTGAGAGACCTTATCTCAAACAAAACAAAACAAAACAAAACAAAACAAAAATCCCAAATCAACCAACCAACCAACTGAACAACAAAAAAATATATCACAAAATCAAAACCATGTACATACTGAGAGAATATAGAATAGTCCTTGTAAAGAATAATATTAAAAAATTAAAAACCCGGGATGGAGAGATGGCTCAGTGATCAAGAGCATTGTCTGTTCTTCCAGAGATCCTGAGTTCAATTCCCAGCAACCACATGGTGGCTCACAACTATCTGTAATGGGATCCGATGCCCTCTTCTGGTGAGTCTGAAGACAGATGCAGTGTACTCACATACATTAAAATAAAACAAAATAAAAAAATAAATATTAAAAAAAAATTAAAAACCCCAAACCAGAACAGAAACATTTAGTGTTTTGGTTTGTGTCAGTGGGCAACTTGTAGGAGCTGGTTCTCTCTTTCTGTCACAGGGTTCCAGGGACTAAGTTCTCGTGTATAGTGTTCTGGAGAATGGATTTAGGTTGTTGGCTTGGCTGCAAGCATTCTGACCTCCTGCTGAGTCATCTGGGCAGCCCCCAAATGATATACTTTATAAATTATGTTTAAAAAGCTGTATTATACATTGCTAAATCATTATTCTATTTATAAATATTAATTAGTATAACTGTCTTTTTTTCTTTTTTTTGCTGAGTCTTCAAACATCTAGGACTTCATGAATACTAGGCAAGTAATCTGTTTCTGAGTTGTATTTGCAGTACTTTAAGACAGTTTTCTTTGGAGACATGCTCTTGCTAATTTGCCCAGCTGCTTAAGCTGGACTTGAACTCATTAACTTGCTTAGATAGACCTTGAACCTGTAATCTTTCTACTTCGACTCACAAGCAGCTGGGATTACAGGTGTGTGCACAGACCTTTCTGGAAGGACTTTTTATGCAATGTGTTAGAGTATACACTAAGAGAGCATAGAGCATTGAGACTTGGGGAACTTTACCTTAACAATAGTTTGATAAACAAACGGAAGAATTTGTTTTGACCACTGTTTTTCTAGACGAACTTCACCATTCTGGTTGATTTGATATTTGCGACCCGTGAGCAACTGAGCATACACAACAGCAGATGTTTCATTTATAATTATTCCCTTTCTTCTTAGATATCTAAAGGGAGAATACAAAAGAAAGACCTATATAAAGAAGTATATATACCGTCCAGGTGATAATCATCAATTAAACCAATTACAAGCAAACACCTGTATCACTGCAAACACGTGCATGGCAGTTCTCAACACCCTATACAACAGCCATCCTCAGCAAACACATGCATGGCAGTTCTCAACACCCTGTACAACAGCCATCCTCAGCCTTCCTAAGGCTGTGGCCATTTAACTCCGCTAGTGTCTCAAGCTGTGATGATCTCCCAACCAGAAAGTTGCTTTGTTGCTATTCATAACTGTAATTTTCTTACTATTATGAGTCATAATGTAAATATATCTGTCTTTTCCAACAGTCTTAGGTATCCCCTTCGAAAGGGTCATTCAACCCACAAGGGGCTGCGATCCCCAGCTTGAGAACTGCTCTATAAGACCTTTGACGGTACTGATTTTAGTCTGTAAACCATTTCTCCACTGTCTTTGTGACTGAATAAGATATTAATCTGTAAAAATGCAGAACTCCACATTCAAGGAAGGCTAGACACAGGCACAAAAATAAACACAAAGAGAAATTTAAATTTAAAAGAAAGTGAAAAAAAAAGGTACTATGAAACTCACCAAACAGAACTATTTTAAGTATATTACTCACTGCAAAGGCCCATTTGATTTACTTATATGTGATGTAAACTTTACATAATTACCTCTTCCTTACTGATTCTTTTTGCTTTCAATTAAAATTTGCATGCTTTTTAACACTCCAGTCTTTCTCTTCTGAATGGCTTGAGGGACTGAGCAGGCCTTGAACATATCGAGCTGAAACCCAGCCCTGGCACCTTTTATCAGCATCTCCGAGGCATAGAGTTGACACTATGCTAAGAGGAGTGAATCCATCTCATAATCCTCCTGCCTCTGCTTCCTGAGTATGGTAATTAAAGTTGTGTGCTATCATGCTCAACTACATTATCTTTTAAAAATGTATTTATTTAATGTGTATGGATGTTTTGCCTATATGTCTGTCTGTGTACTATGTGTGTGCCTTAACCTCTGAGACTTTTTTCTACGACACTCACTGTTCTGAAATTCCTTGTATTTCTTTAGTCCAGTTCGATTGTTCTTTATCTGTAAGTTGGATGACTTTAGATGGTGGAGCAGTTTTTCCCAAATAAACCTTCTGTGTCCCTGGAGGTTCTTCTATGTAAAACCTTAGAAAAAAAAATCAAAGTAAAAATTATATAGGACCAAACTTGTATTTTAATGTAGAGCTTATGCAGAGTTAGTGTTCAGAGTAAAAAACTTTTAAATGGTGTAACTGCAAACCCCCAAATCTGCAAACCCAAACCTTAAAAAAAAAATACAATAATATAAACTAGATAATAAAGATGTGTGGAAATTTTCTATGTTTTGCATGTTGGTATGTCTCTGGATGCCGGGCAACTTGAGGAACTGGGGGAAGAGGATATCTTGATTTCATGAATTTGAGACCAGCCTACACAACACAGCAAGATACTGTCTTACCTCAAGAAAAGATGAAATACTTAGGTATAAACAGAACAAGATGCATATATTGTCTGTATAATGAAAAGATAAAACACTGACTAAAAAATCAAAGATTTAAATGCTGGAGAAGCATATGGCATTCATAGGTTAGCAAAAGTATCAAACTTTCCCAAATGCATCTATAGGCATGAAATTGTTTTCTTTTTCTTATTTTTAAGCTCTCCCTATCCTGGCTCTTTCCTCTTCTCTTCCCCCATCTTTTTTTCAAGACAGGGGACTGCTATGTAGTACAGGCTATCCTTAAACCTCCTTGTATCCTGGGCTAGTCTTGAATTTGTAGAGATCTTCATGCCTTAGCTCAGTGCTGGGATTATGAGTGTGACCAATTATGTCCTTTATATTTAATAAAATTTCTATAAAAATTCCTTCAGCATTCACAGATATAGAACAATCTGTCTTAAAAAGAATCAAATTAGAAGAGCTAAAACCATTTTTAATAATTAAAAAAATGGTTTAAAAAAAGTCAAATGCAACACTTTGATGTTTAGACTTAGCATATGGTTATAGTAATCAATAAATTTGCATAAAAAGTCCATAAACATGAGTAGACTAGAGAACCAGAAAAACATCACACAAATACATTCATTCAGCTTTAAAAAATGTTGGTTGTATCATGTCAGGGCTCTGTACATACCAGATAAAATCTCTCCCATTGATCCAGATTATCAGGCTATAACTCTTGTTTTCTATTTTGTTAAAATACATATTTCATCTTTTATGTGTAAAGTGTGAAAGTCTGTGTGTATGTATGTGCCCTGAAGGCCTGTAGAGGCCAGAAGAGGCTCTGGATCCTGCAACTGGAATTAGGGATAGCTGTGAGCTGCTGTGCGAGAGAGTATAGGGAACAAACTCAGGTCCTCTGCAGGAGTGTAAGGGCCTTAATTGCGGAGGAATCTCTCCAGCTGCTGTAACTAACTTCTGATAAAAGCAATCCAGCAAAGCAAAGATAATATGTAACAAATGGTATTTGTGGGCAAATATGTTATACAACTAAATCTCTAAAATTATGAAAAAATTCATTTAAAATAGATCACTGACTTAATGTAAAAGATTATAAAAACATAAAATATTTGAAAGAAAATATTAGCAATTTTGACTACATCCAAGAGAGAACTAAAGTAACTGATCCAAAATGATAGGGGCTTTTTATTAATAACATTCATTAAAGAGCACACTAGGGGATGTATGCAGGAGCATTAGGGGAAAAGGTGAATGGACAAAGGACTGGTTTTCTAAAATCAAAATTCTATGTGTAAAGATATTTTTTGGCATGTAATAACCAGAAAAGAGAAGGTTCAGTATTTAAGATGGCTGCTCTTCCAGAGAACCTAGGTTTGATTTCGAGCATTCACATGACAGCTAATAACTATTTAAAACTTCAGTCCTATAACCTCTTTTGGTCACCAGAGGCAACAGTCAATACACATGACACAAAGATATATCAGCAGGCAAAACACTCATATACATACATAAAATGAATGAATCAACAAAATAAAACAAAACCAATCAACCAAACAAAAATAGAAACAAAAAAACAGAGCACAAGGCAACATGTGTGTTCCAGATAAGCAAGAGCCACACAGCAAGCTTCTGTCTCATTGTTTTGTTTCAAGAATTTACAGACTACCTATTTTATTTTAGCAAGTAGAAGTACATTACTGCACAGGCCTGACAACACCCAGAGTCTATGGTAGAAGGAGAGAACAGACTACCAAATGTTGTTCCCTGACTTCCACTGCATGACCTGACCCCCAGTCATCCATATACATACACACATATATACTAAATCAATCAGTATATTATTGAAATAGAATCTGGGAAGAATATGAAAAGGGAAAGGCTATATATGTTACTAATTCTTATCAGAAAGATAAATATACTTGCTAAATAACACAGTGGTTATTGCTGAGAAAAGAATTAGGTTATAAAACTTCCAACTTAATAAGAAGAAAAGAAACTAACACAATATAATATACCTAATGTATCCCGAGCAGTGCATAAAATAAACTGTTAACAGTGGTTGACATTCAAGTGGTGTGAGTATAGTTCTGGACCACAGTGTAAATGTTCTTTTAATAATTTTATCATTCAAAATAAATGAGTTATGAAAGAGCAGAGCAAATATAACAGAGAACCCACAAAGAGTATCTTACTTAGTTTCCCCATCTGATACTGCCACGACTCTGGCTTCTTCAAGATGAGGCCAGTTAACAAAGACCGACTTCCCCAGCACTGATGAAGCTATGTTCTCTATATTCTAAAAAGCAAAACCAGAAAAATTCTTTCAGTTTAAGTCCAAGAGAAAACTTTTCAGAGGCAAATTCTGCACTTCCATTTAGTTTAAAATGTAAAACGAATAGATAGATTAGTCATGACAAAATTCCCTTAACTAGGAAAATTCTGAGTTTACTTATTTGATTTATATTTATCTTTCTTACTTCACTCATAAGAAAGAAGACTGAAAGGAACAGTAGTGATGTCTCTCTAGATTCATTTTGGTGGATACTTAAGGCGGCATCTAAGACATATAAGAAGAAGAAGTTTCTCACATCACTATGTGACTAACAAAAACGAACGTTAGATTTGAAGTCAGTGGACACAGTTCCAAATCTTGGGTTTTATTCCTTTTAGAAAAGTTGATCAAATTATGTTTTCCTTTATGCACAGAATAGATAATATCTTCCTTGAAATGTTGAACATAAAGAAAAATAATAACATAATAGTATAAAATCCTATACAATATTCTACATTAAGTAATATCTTAAGTAAAAATTTCAGCTTTAAAAAGAAACTAAAGTTTAAATATAAATTTTATTTATTTTTAAAATTACACTTAAGTTTTTTTGTTTGTTTGTTTGCTGTTTGTTTTCAGACAAGAAAGGTCTCATGAAGACCTAGGATAGCCTGGAACTTGCTATGTACCAAGGATTATGTTGAATTCCTGCTTGCACTTACCAAGCGTTGGGATTATAGATGTGCCTCTTTAACATGTCCAGTTTAGTATGGTTCTAGTGATCTAACCTAGGGCTTTGCGCATCCCAGGAAAGCATTCTATTAATAGAGTTACATTCCCAGCTGAGTTGGTAGATGGCTTTCTTAGCATTCACACAGCCTAGAGTTCAATCCTCATTACTATAGAACAGGGCACAGTGGGGTTTGCTTTTTATCCTAAACTTGGGAAACAGAGGCAAGAGTATCAGGACTTCAAAATCATCCTCACTTATTTAGGAAATCTGAGGCCATCTGGGATACATTAGATCCTGTCTCAAAACAGAAACAAAAAATTTTTAAGCAATAAGAGATGATTATTTTTATATTCTGTTCAATAATCAGATTTTTCTTAAAGTGAGCATCTAAAACTATAGGAAAACAATGCAGTCAAAGAAAGCAAGTTTCAACATTAGAACTGAGTTAACTCAATTATTCTTTCCTTTGTTTATATTAATTTTTTTATTTCAGCCCCCTATTTTCAGTTAAGTTTTGAAAAAAAGCACCTTTCTCTCCAAGATTCTTTCTGAAGCTCTAAGTAAAATCCACTATTATGTCTTGCGTGGTTTTGCTATTATATGTATCCTTTTCCATTATAAAAGCCTGAAGAAATCCCAGGATTTCTACTTTCTTCTTTCTGGATATTCAATCTGAATAATCTTCCTTTTCTTTGCCTACAGTTATGCTTTCTCTTTGTATTAATAAAAGTAAATTTTTTTTTTTTTTTTTGGTTTTTCGAGACAGGGTTTCTCTGTATAGGCCGGGCTGTCCTGAAACTCACTCTGTAGACCAGGCTGGCCTCGAACTCAGATATCTGCCTGCCTCTGCCTCCCAAGTGCTGGGATTAAAGACGTGCACCACCACGGCCCGGCCCAAAAGTAAATAAAAAAAAAAAGTCTCTGTTTTTCTTTTTTTGAGACAGGGTTTTGATATGGAGCTCTGGTTGGCTGGGAACTATGTAGATAAGGCTGGCTTTAAACTCACAGAGATCCACCTGCCTCTGGCTCTGGGATTAAAGACATAGCAGCTAAGAAAGTCCATTTGTATTTTATGTGTACATATGACTGGTGTGAGGTACACTCATGGTGGCCAGAGTGGGCACCAGACCCCAGGAGCTGGCATTCGAGCAGCCTGAGATGGCACTGGGAACACCACTCTGGGCCTCCACAAGAACAGCAAGCACTCTTAATGGTGGGCCTCTCTCCAGCTCCAATCACAGCTTTTTTAGTCAAAGACTTCGTGCCTGCCTGCCTGCCTGCCTCCTTTATTTCCTATGCCCCCACTCTTCTATCTCCTGTCTTTAAGAATTGAACTTCTGCATTCGCCAATGCACTGCAATGAAATTTAGACACTGTTTCAGTTTTTACTTTCCTTCAAGGTTTTGCAATGTAAAGCTTTGGCCTCAAGTCTTTGTGATATCACTTAACTTGGGGGTCATTCTTTGTAATTTCTGTGTCCTCAATGTCACTTTAATTGGCTCCTTTGCATTCTTTATTATTGTGGGTATCTAATTTTTTCCCTTTCATTTGTCTTTTTTTTTTTTTTTTTAAATTTATTTGGGCTGGAGAACTTTCAGATGTCCCAAGTTCAATTCCCAGCAATCAATCACATGGTGGCTCATAACCATCTATACTGTGATCTGGTGCCCTCTTCTGGCCTGCAGGCATACATGCAGGCAGAACACTGAATAATAAACAAACAAACAAGCAAACAAATATTTTTAAAAAAGACTTATTTATGTGTATGACTATTTTGCTTACATGTATGTATGTTTACACCAAGTGTGCTTAGGGCCTACAGAAGCCACAGGATAGCATTAGATACCCTGGAACTGGACTTATAGACCATTGTAGATGCTTGGAACCAAATCTAAGTCTTCTTCTAGAGTGACAATTCAAGTCATCTACACAGCCATTTTCTTTAATGCTGAGATTGTGAACACTGAGTGTAACCTTGTTTTGGGAAATCAATCTCAAGCTCTCAGCCATCAGTCCTCCGCTGGGAACTTACATTAATAACATCTGTCTCCAACCTCTAGCTTGAGGAATTTATGTATGAGCAGCTTTTTAAACTGAGTTTCATCTTTGTGAAACACTGGTTAAGGAAAGGTTACCAGGATAGCTATAGTTAGGTATCTTAGTAACCACCTTAAGATTTGATCATGATTAACCTCTCAAACCAACAACATTCCTACTTTAACTTTTCTTGTCCAGCAAGCTACTCTTACTTTCCAGCTCATTAGCCTGGACAGTTACTACTGTCCTTCTAGATCTATTGCTACTTCACGTATATTATCAATTAAGGCTACAAACTCTCAACTTGTAGGTTCTACTATTCCTTCCTTCCTTTTTTTAAATTTACACTAAAATATTACTATCAGATTAATCCTTATGAAGATATCAATTTCAAAATAACAGTCACAGAAGGGAAAATCCAAACTCCTTAGCCTGGTATTCAAGATCCTCCATAACCTGCCTCAATTTCTCTGTTTGACATAAAGGTTAAAAAAAAAGATAATGCATCATAGTTATTTATTTTGAAGTTGATAATACTTCCTTCAACAAGAAAGCCTTCCCTTGATAATACTTCCTTCAACAAGAAAGCCTTCCCTCCGTCCTAACATCTCTCAGCACCTGGCTCGAGCCTCTGTCCATCGACACATGTCTCTAAGCACAGCCAGCACAGCCCATCTCCTCTTCAGATCTCATTCATGGCGCTGGTTAGAAAGGCCTTTAGGACCATTTTAAAAGCTGAATCTGAGTTATGGCACATAAATAACTTGGCAGATATAAGCAGTTTTATGCATGGCAAATATTCTATAAATAAATAAAGTACTTACAAGTTCATCTGGTTCTGCATTCACTGAGATTTCCAACATCATGTTTTCACCACGACTACTCTGCTGGAATACTTGAACACCACTTTTCTTCAAAAAAAACTTTAAAGGAATTCAAAAATTTTAATTTTAATTCTTTATAATCACTTCACTTTTAATAAAGTGAAAAAAGTCTGAATTAAATAGCCACTGACTTTATGTTTGATGTGTTTCAAAGTAGGGAATCCACAGAAATATAACGCCTTCTGGTCAACCCTGGTTATTTTGTTCTTGTTTATGTCTACGCGCCAAGCATCTAATGATATTATTTTATACCTAGAAAATAAATCAAAGTATTTAACTTAAAATTTAAACATTACAAGCAATTATAGCTTTCATCTTTTTCTTGATTATTGACAAGAATCACTGTTCTTTTAAAAGAGACATGGGTGGTGGCACATGTCTGTAATTCCAGTACATGAGAAGCAGAGGCAGGAGATGACAAGTTCAGGCCAGTGTGAATTATAGAATGAGTTCTAAACCAGTCTAAGAAGGATAGTGAGGCTCTATCTAAAAAACCATCGCCGCCGCCGCCGCCGCCACCACCACCACCACCACCAGCAACACACACACACACACACACACACACACACACACACACACACACACGAATCATTCCTTTAAAGAAAATACAGGCATATAGGTTTATACCTATAATCCCAAATTAGGAAGGCTGAGGTAGTTGGATTGTTATGAGTTCAATGCTATTCTGAACTATAGAATAAAATCCTGTCTCACAGGAAAAACCAACCAACCAACCAACCAACCAACCAACCAACCAACCAAGAAACAAATCAGGAGCAATGAAGTGAGTACAGGCACTTTCTAGGACCCACATGGTAAAAAGAAAAAACTGACTTCCAAAAGTTGTCCTTTGATCTCCATATACTTGTAGCACACTTTTTCATAAGCATGCATACATATGAATCCCCCATCACAAATATAAAAAAAAACACCAAAAATTTTATGTCAAAAAATGTAAAGTAAAGCAAACAAATGAAGAAATACAAGCAGCTCCTCTGCTGTTACTAGTCTAGATACTATTAGGCCTGTAGATCACTAAGTAAAGGGTTTTTTTTAAATCCCATTAATTTAGGACAAGCTATATATAATTTAAAAACTGAGGGGCAAGGAGATGGTTTAGGCAGTAAAATGTTTGCCTCCCAAACTTGAGGACCTAAGTTCAATGGCCAGCATCCACTTGAAAGGCAAGTGGAGCAGCATGTCTCTGCAATCCCAGTGCGGGGGAGCTGGGAACAGGAGGATCTCTGTGCTTGTTGGCTAGCCAGTCTAACAAAATTAGCGAGTTCCAGGTTCAGTAATAAAAGCTATCTCAAAATAAATGAATAAATACAAGTACAGAATGACTAAGAAAGAGATATCAACCTAGACTCATACTCAAACAAAGGGAAACATAAAGCATAATATCAATCTCTTTCATGTTCTAAAAGATTAACATTTCAGTCTATTTTGTTTCTTTTTACTTTTACAAAAAAATTACTACAACTGAAAATGTTTGCTCAGCTGTTGAATACAAACATTATTTTCAGGGAAGGTAAGAAAAGAGAAAAAATGGGAATGGAATTTTAATGGGAAGAGAATGAAAACACAGATTGAGCAAAATAGGGGTTCTTGATTTTCTTGTCTGTGGCTGAATAGTTGATGGCAGTAAGAGACCAGTTAGAGTGTAATGCTGGGGACAGAGACCAGTTAGAGTGTGATGCTGGGACAGAGACCAGTTAGAGTGTGATGCTGGGGACAGAAAACAGTTAAGAGTGTGATGCCGGGGACAGAGACCAGTTAGAGTGTAATGCTGGGGACAGAGACAGAGTGTAATGCTGGGGACAGACAACAGTTAAGAGTGTAATGCTGGGGACAGACAACAGTTAAGAGTGTGATGCTGGGGACAGAGACAGAGTGTAATGCCAGGGACAGAGACATGGACAATGAAAACAAAACTACACACACATTTAAAACAGAAATTGTCTATAAAGTACAGAGATACATTACGAAGAAAAAATATGTAACTGTAGTAAAAGGAGAGTGAGTAAGCACCCATGGAAAGCAGAGAATGACATGACCGATAGAGAGAGGTGCTTAGTAAGCAGGCTGCTGCTCACTAAGTGTTACTTTCATCTTGAGACTGGGACATGTTATATTGCTGGTTTTGAACTCCTGGGCTCAAACAGCAGCCTTCTTCCTCAGACACCTAAGTAGCTGGGACTATAGGCTTGAATTATTATACCTAGGTTATTGGATATCAGTTAACTGTCACAAAATATTAATTCTTCCCATAGATATTCAAGCCTGTGTATGTGTGTGAGTTTTTTATTGTTGGAAAAAATTACCAAATACCATTACCTTGTACAACATCGTTCTATGGCAGGGAACTTTTCTGGCCATGGAGAGGAGTAGGTGAATTCTGTGTCTCTATCATACCAGCACATGAGGCACTCACTGTGTTGGTTTCTTTTCCTTTCTTCCTTTTTGAGGGAGTGGTTACATGTCTCCATGGCTTCCAACAATCGCTTCTGATATAAATAATAGTAAAAGATTAAAAAAAAATCCCATAATCTCAACATACAGAAAAGTATTTTCTCTTTTGTATACTATCTTGGGCTGATGGGATGGCTCAGTGGGTAAGGGCACTTGGCTGCCAGTCTGATGACCTGAGTTAAATTTCTGGGACACATATGATGCACGCACACACATACACACATACACACAGCAAATAAAAGCAAAAGGAGAGTTCAGTGTCATTTTATGCACTAGCCTGTCTTAAAACACCAGAGACAAAAATAAACAACAAAAGGTCTGGAGAGAATAAACTACCGAGTAAGAAGGCAAACTAGAAACTACCAGAGTGTAAAGAAAACTTAGGATAAGAAAAAGCAGACTCATATCCAAAGACAGAAAGAGAGAACTTAAAAGACAGGTTATGAATCAAAAAGAAGTATGCCTAGCTGGGCATGTGGTGCTATCAAGAGATAAAAGCTACCAGAAATTCGTAGTTAAGAATTTGTAAAATAAAAGCAACTGATATAAAAACTAAAAGCATATATCTGTTCATAAACATTTAAGTTTGATTTGTTCACTGATTTACTGACTTGTGCACACACACAGGCATGCTTGCCTGTGTAAGAGTTTACCACTAATCTGTCTTCCTCTAGCACTTTCCACTTGATGATTGGTTTCATTTTTGGTTTACTTATGTGTACAGGTGTTCTGCTTGCATATAAGTTCGTGTGCTATGTATGTTCATGTTGCCTACAGAGGCCTGAGGAGGGCACTGGATCCCCTGAAACTGGAGTTATAGATGGCTGTGAGTGGCCATGTGGGTGCTGGAATTGAACCCAGGTCTCATGGAAAAGCAGTCAGTGTTCTTAATTGGTAAGTCATCTCTCCAGTTTCTTTTTTTTTTGTTTGTTTTTTTGTTTTTTTCGAGACAGGGTTTCTCTGTGTAGCCCTGGCTGTCCTGGAACTCACTCTGTAGACCAGGCTGGCCTCAAACTCAGAAATCCACCTGCCTCTGCCTCCCAAGTGCTGAGATTAAAGGCGTGCGCCACCACTGCCCGGCTCCAGTTCCATTTTTATTTTTTAAAATTAAACTATTTTGTGTGTGTGTGTACACATGTACACAGATGCATACATGCCGTGGCACATATATGGAGAGTAAGATGAAAGAAAAGTAAGAAAGAATCCATGATTCAACATAGAAAGCCAGTAAACCTTTAACACTAATGGGGAGAAAGAGTACAAAACCTGATCCAATCAACCTGGATTATATTAATCAAACCACCACAACCACCACCAAAAATACTGAAAAAAAAATACAGATATAAGCAAACCTTTTTTCAGTAATAACCTTAAATGTAAATGAAGGAGAAGAAGAGGAAGAGGAAGAAGGGGAAGGAGAAGGAGGAGGAAGAAGAGGAGAAAGAAGAGGAAGAAGATGAGAAAGAGGAGGAAGAAGAGGAGAAGGAGGAGGAGGAGAACAACAACAACAACAAGAGACGCAGACTATAGCTGACTGGACTGAAAACAGGACCCGACTGTTTTCTCCAAGAAACACCGCACTGGCAAAGGCACCCACAAATTGTGATCAGAAGGACTCCAAGTTGGCCTGTCAAGTGAATAGAAGAAAAAAAAAAGCCGATGTACATAATCTCATATTTGAAAGGGTAGACTTCAAACCAAATTAGCCAGAAAAGATAACAAGATCATTATATATTAAGGGAAAATAAACACCAATAGGCATAAAAAGGTCTCACAGGTCTTGACAGAATAATAATGATGACTATGATGGCTATTTTTTGGTTGTCAACTATCTGGAATCTAGAAAATGCAGGGCACGCCTGTGAGGGAGTATTTTAGTTTAGGTGAATCCACTTCTAGAGCAGACCTTTGAGGTCAGAAGACACACTCCTTTGATCTGGATCTTGAAGAGGAAAGATCCACTTTAATCTGGGCCACACCTTCTGCTGCAAGCCTAATTAAGGACATGGAAAAAGGAAGCTTTTGCTCTCTGCTGGCTTGCCCTCACCTTGCTAGCATGTCTATTTCTTCACTGGCATTGGAGCCTAGTTCTTTGGAATTCTAACATAAACTGAAGACCAGCAAGACATCCATCCTTGTGGACTGAAAAACTACAGCCAGTCATTGTTGGATTAGCTGGATTGTAGTCTGTAGGCATTCCAATAAATCTCACATATATACTCGTTCTATATGTTCTCCTCAGAGCCTTGACTAGTACAGATGACTTTTAATGCATTCACATCCACACAAAAATTAACAGAGAAACTCCAGAGTTAAACTATACCAAGACCAAATGGATGTGTGAGGTAACTACCTACAAGAGCTATCAAATATATAATCTTCTCAGCAGTCCATGGGACCATCTCTAAGACAATATTCTAGGCCACAAGTCAAGTCTTCATAAATATAAAGGAATGAAGCTATGCGGTATGCTCCCAGCACTTGGGAGGCAGCAGCTAGAGGAACAGTTTAAGGTTATTCTTAGCTACACAACAAATCAAGTCTGGACTATGAGACCACCTCAAAAAACCATAAAAGAGTGAATCAAAATAATTCCTTGTATATTATCAGATCATAGTGGAATGATATAGACCTTAATAGCAAAGAGAAACTATGAAAACCACGGAAATACATGGAAACTGAGTAATATATGCCTGCATGAAGTGGGCAGTTGAAGAAATCATAGAGGAACTTTAAATGTTTCTACAATCAATTTGAAATAGAGGCACAACCTACTACACATTCTGGTGTACAGCTAAGAGAGTTATAAGATAAAAATTGATGACTACAAATGCTTACATTAAAGAAAAACATCAGTTATCTCAAATAAAAAACACCTCAAGGCTTTAGAAATGAAAGAATAAGACATATCTCCAAACAGTAGGTGGCAAAGCCTTTCTGAAAGGACACCATGAACACAGGATATGATCCTAAGAATTCAAAACCAAGATTGAATGAAATTAAGAAATTTTTACTAGTAAAGGAAACAATCTGCAAAATTTAGAGACAGTGTATAAAATGGAAGAAAATCTTTACTAACTATACATCTGAGAGGGGATTAATATCTAGAATCTACAGTGACTCTCAAAAATGACAAAGAAAAAAATCATTTAATAAGTAGGGAAATGAACTGGACTGGTTCTCTATAGAATCAACCCAAATAGCTAATACATGAAAACATGCTCAAAAGTCTTAGCCATCAGGAACGAGAAGTGAAAAGAACTTGGAGTCTAGCTCATCCCAGTTAGAATGACCATCATCAAAACAACAAATGACAGGGGCTGGGGAGACAGCTTAGTTGGTAGTGAATAGATATAAAAACTGTCAAGATCTGAGTTTGATTCCTAACTTGTCCATGGAAAAGGCTGGGAATGGTGGCACACACAATCTAAATGCTGGGTAGAAAGAGACAGGAAGGTCCCTAGGAGGCAAGCTCTAAAAACAAGGTGTCTGATGGTATCTGAAGAATTACACCTAAGATTATCTTTGCCTTCCCCAAATAAAAAGACTAAGTGTTTTTATGTAATTATTTCATATACTGACCTCATCAATAAAGGGTATTAATACCACAGCTTCCCATTCCTGTTGTTTCCCATTTAGATCAGTTTTAAAATCAGGTGGATAATATTCTATAATTGGAGAGTCTTCACTGGTCATCAAATGCTGTGAAAATATAAACAGGAAAACTGAAATATGAGAGACAATATAACTATAACTTTTCATTAATGTATTTAGAACATTTCCTTTACTAGGCTGCAATAATGTATTTAGCACATTATAATTTTCAATGAAAAATTTTTCTTTTTTCTGAGATAGCATGTCACTAGTCTTGAAATTAAAATTCACTCAGTCTTAGCCTCCACTGTTGGGATTACAAACCTGTGACATCTTGTTCAGCAAACTAAGAATTTCAACTGTATTGCTACTCATTTTTCCTGTTTCTTTAATTTAGTTATGGGGTAAAATTACCTTTACTATGAGTCACTTCTCACTCTGTCAATCTCTATCTTGAGACTTAATCTAAGTAGTCCAGGGTAGCCTTGAACTCAAGATGCTCCTGCCTCAGCCTCAAGAATGCTGGAATTATAGGTGTATACTGACCCCCCACCACCACAGCTAATATTAGCTTTAATTTTGTCATTTTTACTTAAAAACTTTTATTAGAGTTATGTATTTGTATGTATGCACCCATGTGTCATGGTGCACATGTTCTTGGTGTGTGTTGTGGAGGTCAGAGGACAATTTGTGGGAGTCAGTTCTCTCCGTGGATACTGTGGATTCAGTTCACTAGGTGTGGCAGTATGTATCTCTACTTGCTAAGATTGTTGTCAGTCCTATTTTTATTTTTCTATTGTCTTTTCATTTTATAAGATGTACTACCTAAATTCTGTCTTCTTACTAATAAATTCAGTTCATTTCCTTTCACACTTCCAACAGTTCTCCATCTCAACCTCAAATTAATAATTTACTTTCATTCCTTAATAAGTTGATTCTAGTAACATGATTACTAGCATCAAAATAATTTTAAAAAGTCAAATCCATGACCCACAATGCCATTAATAAGAGGCTGATAACATAGATTTCTATTATATTTTATAAAAAGGTAGGTAGACAAAGAAACCATATCAGTATCTAACGCAAAAAAGTATAGAAAATGAAAAGGGAAGATTAAAAGAATTAAAAATAAAAGTAGCATATTCCTAAGGTGATAATCTAAAATTTAATTGCTACTGCACAAACAGTAAACAAATGTGCTAATAACATACTTATTGGCTAACAGTGTTAGGCTATCAAAGCTTAATGTAGCTGAAGGAAAAAGCAAAAGAAGACATCAAAGATATTAAGAAGGGATATGACAATGTTAAAGCAATGACAGAGCAATGGGTGTATGTGTTGCACCTACCCCAAGTCCTGAGACCAGGCATGGAATTAGAGGTATAGATACAATCCTAGAAAAACTGAATAACAATTACTTTTATAATCTGCTTTGTAAGCTTAATGTGACTTCAGAGACCCTGTCTTCCTCTTGTTATATGAAGTATGTTAATAAGAGGAAAGTCCTTCAATTTGTTAAGTGAAATGCTTAAAAGTATACCTATATCCTGAGGTGATACTGGTGATAAACATTTGTTGGAATTGTCATCACTCTTATAGAGGATTTAAGAGAACAGGAATTCATCTTTAAATATATAGAAGAGGAGATGACATTTTACCTGTTTTAGGTTAATTTCTTCATGTAGAAATAAAGATGTGCTTAAAGTGTTGAAAATGAATAAACTATGTACTGAAAAGTTTATAGAGCTTGCGTTAAAAAAATCAGTAAAATATAGGTATAATCTCCTGTGTTCTGTGTAGAAGCATTAATAAAAAGCTAATGGCCAATGAGCCCAGGAAAGATTAGAAGGTAGGACTTCTGGTTGGGAAAGAGTCACGAGAGATTACTGTCCTCAACCTGGAAGAGGAGGAGACAGCCCTGAAGCTGAACTTAGGTTAGAATAAACAGGATATTAAGAGTTAATGGAGCCCTTCGGCCCCTGCCTAGTCCCTTGGGCTGGAGCAGACACAGAGTCGGTCTGCTCCTGTCCTGTGGAGAAACTGAATCCTGAGTCATCCAGGAGCCACTGCACCCAGAGCAGCTGGTAAGAACTCCATCTCACTCCCTAAGCCCCAGAAATACATCTGGGAGCCAGGGCCATTCAGGGCACAGCAGCTACCCAAACCCCGCCCCTCCGGAATTCCACTTCTCTTCGGCCCCTGCCTGGTCCCTTGGGCTGGAGCAGACACAGAGTCGGTCTGCTCCTGTCCTGTGGAGAAACTGAATCCTGAGTCATCCAGGAGCCACTGCACTCAGAGCAGCTGGTAAGAACTCCATCTCACTCCCTAAGTCCCAGAGATACATCTGGGAGCCAGGGACATTCAGGGCACAGCAGCTACCCAAACCCCGCCCCTCCGGAATTCCACTTCCCTTCGGCCCCTGCCTGGTCCCTTGGGCTGGAGCAGACACAGAGTCGGTATGCTCCTGTCCTGTGGAGAAACTGAATCCTGAGTCATCGAGAAGCCACTACACGCAGAGCAGCTGAAACTGAATCCTGAGTCATCGGGGACCCACTGCACTCAGAGCAGCTGGAGCCACTGCACTCAGAGCAGCTGACACAGAGTTGGTCTGCTCCTGTCCTGTGGAGAAACTGAATCCTGAGTCATCTAGGAGCCACTGCACTCAGAGCAGCTGAAACTGAATCCTGAGTCATCCAGGACCCACTGCACTCAGAGCAGCCGAGGAGCCACTGCACTCAGAGCAGAAGGATTTCCAGATCCAAGAGGTGGCCTGAGTCCCAGGAGTTCTTCCACCCAGGAGATTAGGGGCATAAGACCACAGAGACCTCTGGACTCCGAGGAGCTCTGCAATAAGCAAGATAACTGGAAATACAGATTCCAATCTTACACAGTGAGGGCAGGTACCACTAGAGTTACCCAGATGGCGAAAGGCAAGCGCAAGAACATAAGCAACAGAAACCAAAGTTTCTTGGCATCATCAGTGCCCAGTTCTCCCAATATAGCAAGCCCTGAACACCCCATCACACCTGAAAAGCAGGATTCAGAATTAAAATCACTTCTCATGATGATGATAGAGGATTATAAGAAGGAATTAAGTAACTCCCTTAAAGAAATACAGGAGAGTACAAGTAAACAGATAGAAGCCCTTAAAGAGGAATCACAGAAATCCCTTAAAGAAATGCAAGAAAACACAAAAAAGGAATTAAACAAAAACATTCAGGATCTGAAACTGGAAATAGAAACAATAAAGAAAGTTCAAAGGGAGACAACCATGGAGATAGAAAACCTAAGAAAGAGATCAGGAGTCACAGATGCAAGCATCACCAACCGAATACAAGAGATAGAAGAGAGAATCTCAAATGCAGAAGATACGGTGGAAAATATTGACACAGTTGTCAAAGAAAATGAAAAACGCAAAAAACTCCTAACTCAAAACATCCAGGAAATCCAGGACACAATGAGAAGACCAAACCTAAGGATAATAGGTATAGATGAGAATGAAGATTCCCAACTTAAAGGGCCAGTAAATATCTTCAACAAAATCATTGAGGAAAATTTCCCTAACCTAAAGAACAAGATGCCCATAAACATACAAGAAGCCTACAGAACACCAAATAGACTAGACCAGAAAAGAAATACCTCCCGTCACATAATAATCAAAACATCAGATGCACAAAACAAAGAAAAAAAATACTAAAAGCAGTAAGGGAAAAAGGTCAAGTAACATATAAAGGCAGACCTATAAGAATTACACCAGACTTCTCACCAGAGACTATAAAAGCCAGAAGAGCCTGGACGGACATCATACAGACCCTAAGAGAACACAATTGCCAGCCCAGATTATTATACCCAGCAAAACTCTCAATCAATATAGATGGTGAAACCAAGATATTCCATGACAAAACCAAATTTGCACAATATCTTCCCACAAACCCAGCACTTCAAAGGATAATTGATGGAAAACGCCAACACAAGGAGGGAAACTACAACCTAGAAAAAGCAAGGAAGTAATCTTCCAACAACCCCAAAAGAAGATAACTATACAAACATAACTTTACCTCTAATAACAAAAATAACAGGAAGCCACAATCATTTTTCCTTAATATCTCTTAACATCAATGGTCTCAATTCCCCAATAAAAAGACGCAGACTATCAGACTGGATACACAAACAAGACCCAGAATTTTGCTGCATACAAGAAACGCACCTCAGTGACAAAGACAGACACTACCTCAGAATAAAAGGGTGGAAAACAACTTTCCAAGCCAATGGTCCCAAGAAACAAGTTGGAGTAGCCATTCTAATATCAAATAAAATCGACTTCCATCCAAAATTAATCAAAAAAGATAAGGAAGGACACTTCATACTCATCAAAGGAAAAATCTACCAAGGTGAACTCTCAATTCTGAATATCTATGCCCCAAATGCAAGGGCACCTACATACATAAAAGAAACTTTACTAAAGCTCAAAACACACATTACACCTCACACAATAATAGTGGGGGATTTCAACACCCCACCCTCAGCAATGGACAGATCATGGAAACAGAAACTAAACCGAGACACTTTGACATTAACAGAAGTTATGAACTGAATGGACTTAACAGACATCTATAGAACATTTCATCCTAAAACAAAAGAATATACCTTTTTCTCAGCACCTCATGGTACCTTCTCCAAAATAGACCATATAATTGGTCACAAAACAAGCCTCTACAGATACAAAAAGATTGAAATAATCCCTTGCATCTTATCAGATCACCACGGAATAAGACTGGTCTTTAATAATGACAAAACCAATGGAAAACCCATGTGCACATGGAAACTGAACAACTCTCTACTCAATGATGACTTGCTCAAGGAAGAAATAAAGAAAGAAATTAAAGACTTTTTAGAATTCAATGAAAATGAGGACACATCATACCAAAACTTGTGGGACTCCATGAAGGCAGTGCTAAGAGGAAAACTCATAGCTCTAAGTGCCTACAAAAAGAAACTGGAAAGAGCACACACTAACAAGTTGACTACACAACTAAAAGCTCTAGAACAAAAGAAGCAAATACACCCAGGAGGAGTAGAAGGCAGGAAATAATCAAACTCAGGGTTGAAATCAACCAAATAGAAACAGAAAGAACAATACAAAATATCAATAAAACCAGGAGTTGGTTCTTTGAGAAAATCAACAAGATAGATAAACCGTTAGCCAGATTAACCAGAGGGCACAGAGACAGTATCCAAATTAATAAAATCAGAACTGAAAAGGGAGACATAACAACAGAAACGGAAGAAATTAAAAAAATCATCAGATCCTACTACAAAGGCCTATACTCAACCAAACTGGAAAACCTGGATGAAATGGACAATTTCCTAGACAGATACCAGGTACCGAAGTTAAACCAGGAGCAGATAAACCATCTAAATAGTCCCATAACCCCTCAGGAAATAGCAGCAGTCATTAAAAGTCTCCCCACTAAAAAAAAGCCCAGGACCAGATGGTTTTAGTGCTGAATTCTATCAGACCTTCAAGGAAGACCTAATACCAATTCTCTTCAAACTATTCCACAAAATAGAGACAGAAGGAACACTACCCAATTCGTTCTATGAAGTTACAACTACACTCATACCCAAACCCCACAAGGACCCGACAAAGAAAGAGAACTTCAGACCAATCTCCCTTATGAACATTGATGCAAAAATACTCAATAAAATTCTAGCAAACCGAATCCAAGAACACATCAAAACAATCATCCATCATGATCAAGTAGGTTTTATCCCAGGAATGCAGGGATGGTTCAATATTCGGAAATCCATCAATGTAATCCACTATATAAACAAACTTAAAGAAAAAAAACCACATGATTATCTCACTAGATGCTGAGAAAGCATTTGACAAAATTCAACATCCCTTCATGATAAAAGTCTTGGAAAGATCAGGAATTCAAGGCCCCTACCTAAACATAGTAAAAGCAATTTACAGCAAACCAGTAGCCAACATCAAGCTAAATGGAGAGAAACTTGAAGCAATCCCACTAAGATCAGGGACTAGACAAGGCTGCCCACTCTCCCCCTACCTATTCAATATAGTACTGGAAGTCTTAGCCAGAGCAATTAGACAACAAAAAGAAGTCAAAGGGATACAAATAGGAAAAGAAGAAGTCAAAATATCACTATTTGCAGATGATATGGTAGTATACTTAAGTGACCCCAAAACTTCCACCACAGAACTCCTAAACCTGATAAACAACTTCAGCAAAGTGGCTGGTTATAAAATCAACTCAAACAAATCAGTAGCCTTCCTCTACATGAAAGATAAACAGACTGAAAAAGAAATTAGGGAAATGACACCCTTCACAATAGTTGCAAATAATATAAAATACCTTGGTGTGAATCTAACCAAGCAAGTGAAAGACCTGTATGACAAGAACTTCAAGTCCCTGAAGAAAGAAATGGAAGAAGATCTCAGAAGATGGAAAGATCTCCCATGCTCATGGATTGGCAGGATTAATATAATAAAAATGGCCATCTTGCCAAAAGCAATCTACAGATTCAATGCAATCCCCATTAAAATCCCAACTCAATTCTTCACAGAGTTAGAAAAGGAAATTCTCAAATTCATATGGAATAACAAAAAACCCAGGATAGCGAAAACTATTCTCAACAATAAAAGAACTTCTGGAGGAATCACCATCCCTGACCTCAAGCTGTACTACAGAGCAATAGTGATAAAAACTACCTGGTATTGGTACAGAGACAGGCAGGAAGATCAATGGAATAGAATTGAAGACCCAGAAATGAACCCACACTCCTATGGTCACTTGATCTTTGACAAAGGAGCTAAAACTGTCCAGTGGAAAAAGGACAGCATTTTCAACAAATGGTGCTGGTTCAACTGGAGGACAACATGTAGAAGAATGAAAATTGATCCATTCTTATCCCCTTGTACAAAGCTCAAATCTAAGTGGATAAAGGACCTCCACATAAAACCAGATACACTGAAACTAATAGAAGAGAAGGTGGTGAAAAGCCTCGAATACTTGGGCACAGGGGAAAAGTTCCTGAATAGAACTCCAATGGCATATGCTCTAAGATTGAGAATTGACAAATGGGACTTCATAAAATTGCAAAGTTTCTGTAAGGCAAAGGACACTGTCAATAGGACAAAACGACAACCAACAAATTGGGAAAAGATCTTTACCAATCCTTCATCTGATAGAGGGCTAATATCCAATATATACAAAGAACTCAAGAAAT